GCTGCAAACTGTGCTGCGTAAGAAGTCCATCCTAAAGTTAACGGGGCAGCTTCTGCTCCTGGCCTAAGAAATTGTCTGGACCCCTTATTCTAAAATTTTCCCCATCACAGTACTGTACTGATTGCAACAAAGGAGGGGGGGATGGATATTGATTAGGCAACAGGCAGTGTCACCCATACTATGTAAGGATGATTTCAAATAAAATGTTTTTCACAGACTGGAAAAAGCAAAACAAGCCGGGTCGCAGTGACTTAGTGGTTGAGCATTGACCTGTGAACCAGGAGGTCATGGTCAGGGCACATCCCCAGTAGGGGTGTGTAGGGGGTGATCAATGATTCTCTCTCATCATTGATGTTTCTCTCTCTCTCCCTATGTCTCTCTCCCTCCCTTCCTCTCTGAAATCAATGAAAATATATATTTTTAAAAGCAAAACAAAATAGTATTGTAGTGTACACATATTCTTATCTGAAAAAAAGAGAGATTATAAGCCTGCATTCCTCCTGAGGCCGTTGTGAGGGTAAAGTAAGCTAATGAGGAGAGTTTTAGCAGTGTGCCTGGTATGTTGTATGTGTTTAGCAAAGGCTGGCTTTTATTTTTATTACCTATTGATAAATGGATTATTTAACACGGTGTGTTGTTTGGATTTCTACTTGTGGGAAGGAGGGGCCGCGGCCGCCGCCATGTTATTCCAGCTCCCAGGTTCACAGGCAAACCCCCAGCAGCAGCCCGTGGACCTGCGTTCTGCCCCCACCTTGCCGATCTAAGTGCCTCACTGAGAAAATCACCAACATACGTGGAATTACAGGACCGTGTGGGCTGTCCATTCTGTGCTTACCGTGTACTGTGTATGTTTTATCCCATTTAATTTCCCACATGAAGAGATTCCGTGATTTTTACCATCATTATTATTGTTTTAATCCTTACTGGAGGACATGCTTAGAGGAAGGGAGAGAGACAGAGCGAAGGAGAAAGAACATAAATCAGTTGCCTTTAGTATGTGCCCTGAGCATATGTTCCGGCCAGGGATCGAACCTGCAACCCAGGTTATGTGCTCTGACAGGAAATTAAACTGGCAACCTTTTGGTGCAGAGGATAACAATCAGCCAACTGAGCCGCTCTGGCCAGGCAGATTTCCCCCCATTTTATAAACAAGCAAATCAAGAGAGATTAACAGTAGAGACAACAGCAGAACTGAATTTAAATCTAGGCTGACTGGCCCTGAGTCCATGCTCTTAACCACTGCCTTTTAAGGTGTCTGGATAAATGAAAGGTAATTATGTTAGGTCTTAGTCGCCTAAGAGAAACTATAGCACAGCGCTTTCTGTAATAATATTAAAGGATGAACCACATGTATAGCTCTGATGTACAAACTAAAAACCACTGGATTGTACACTTTAACTGGGAGAATTTATGGTATGTAAATTATATCTTAATAAGGCTGTTAAAAAACTCCACAAACCACAAGTAAGTGTCTTTATAATGCAAACTGGGTCCTAAATGATTGTTGGCCATTTTAGGGATTTATTATATGCCTGTGAGTAAATTACACTTTTTTTTTCATATCAAACAAACAAACCTCACTATCAGGAGACCATTTTATGAAGGAATGGAACAAAATAATCCTATTGGTGGGAATTTTTTTTTCAATTCCCAGCTTTAGGCCTTTTTATATCTGCCAGGAAATTGAATAGCTCTCAGCTCCCAAGTACATTTGCTGTTGCAATTAAATGTCTATATGTGCATTAAGGATATACAAACAATAAAACTTAGGGAGTGGAAAGAAGACATTTCACTGAAAGCATACTGATACATCCTTTAATTGTACAGTTTTCTTCCATGTGGGTAACTTTTATTTTTCCTTTTCCATTCCAAACATTTAAAGGAGAGAAAGCACTTTATTTACTTATTTTAAATATTTTCATTGACTTCAGAGGGGAAGAGGGATAGATAGAAACATCAATGATGAGAGAGAAAATCATTGATCGGCTGATTCCTGTACATCCCCCAATGGGGATCAGTAACCCGGGCATATGCCCGGACCAGGAAGTCGAACTGTGACCTTCTGGTTCATAGATCGAAGCTTAACCACTGGGCCACACTGGCCATGTGAGAAAGCACTTTATATAGGAAGCTACTTGTGGCCGCTCTTCTGCTGGACTGCATCCTCTACGTCAGTGGTCGGCAAACGCATTGGTCCACAGAGCCAAATATCAATAGCACAACGATTGAAATTTCTTTTGAGAGCCAAATTTTTTAAACTTAAACTTCTTCTAATGCCACTTCTTCAAAATAGACTCACCCAGGCCGTGGTATTTTGTGGAAGAGCCACACTCAAGGTGCCAAAGAGCTGCAGTTTGCCAACCACGGCTCTAGGGCCTTTGAGTTGTACAGCTCCCAGGGGCCAGCACAGACCCCAAAATGAGTGATAGCAGCTTTTCCTCAACACACTTGGTTTCTGACAAGGCTCTAGGAGGCGATCAAAACGCTGCTCTGATGCTCAGAAAACCTGTTGGTAGCTTAACTCTGGTCTCATGGCCGCTCAAAGATATTCCTTGCCTGGGTCAGCTGCCATCACCAATCTGGCATAGATTCACAAGGAGATTAGATGAAAATTTGGACTGGATCTATATTCAATAACCCCATCACCAACACCAGTAAAGGGGTTCAAAGTCCTGGCCCCCTAAACCATGGGTCACTTTCCTGCTCTCAGCTCTAATGCACGTGTGTGAAAATAGTCTGATTCAACTTACTAGGTAGCTTTGTACTTTGAAGAACACAAAGGAACTGAATTTTTTTTTTTTTTTTTTTTTTACTATTCTGACTACAGTATGCATCAACATATGATGCCATTATTCAGTTCTGTCATGGACACACACATGGCACAGGCTGTATTTCAGCTGTTACTAATAATGGCATCCAGGCCTTTCCTATTGGCCCATTGAACTTACCAGTCCTCTTGACAGCAGTCTCCTTAGGCAAGCCCTCCAGGCGCAGCCAGGCACGGACAGTAGCCTGTCAAGCTCCCTGGAATTTCAAACAGCAAGCCTCTAAGCCTAGCAGGCATGAAGGTAGCGCCACACATACTGGTAGCAGCTCCCTGAATTCCCTCCTTTGCGCCCTCACTCCTATCGCGAGATCTGGGAATGTGTACAGACTCTGGCCATCATCTTTTTCTTCCATCAGTGAGTCATCTAAGCAGGTCATTTAGGCCAAACGTAGTCACTCTGGAGCCTGGCTTATTTGCATTGGCTATTAACCTTAACTAATCAGATCATGGCTTAAGTTCAGTTTCATGTTGTATTAATATAATGTTGAAATAGATTAAAACCTCCTAGGTAGTTTTTATTCGGAATGTTTTGTGCTTTTAGAACTAATATATTGGTCGTTGTGTTTTTTTTATTTTTTTTTATTTTTTATCCCCTAGCATCCAGATTTTTATCTTTAAATATCATTTCCTGCTAAAAGAAACCAAAACTCATTGGAGAAATGACTGATTCCATATCTGGGACAGAAAAATATATCTAATAAACCTGCACCAAAATAATCAAGAGGGGCAAGACTGGGAAGAGAGTATAGATGAATCAAGCTGACGAGATACTGTTGAAATTGGGTGGCACGTAGTTCTTTTATAGTATTTCTACATTTGTATATTTTTTTACTTTTTCCATAAAAACTTTTTTAAGGAAAGCTAAAATTAATTTCTATTAAAAAGATGAAACAGTAACAGTTATTCACGGCCAATACCATGGATTTTTATGATTTTATATATTGGGCTTTTTTCAAGCTTCTTTGAGCTAATTAAGACAAAAGCCCCCCATATTCACCTTCCTCAAAATTATTTAGAAAGAGAAGCATGTCCCCTAAACTGGTTTGGCTCAGTGGATAGAGCATAGGCCTGTAGACTGAAGGGTCCTGGGTTTGATTCCGGTCAAGGGCATGTACCTTGGTTGCAGGCATATCCCCGTTAGGGGGCGTGCAGGAGGCAGCTGATGGATGTTTCTCACTCTCTATCCCTCTCCCTTCCTTTCTGTAAAAAATCAATTAAAAAATGTATTTTAAAAAGAAAGAGAAGCATGACTAAGGAGGGCTTGCAGTCCCTAATCCTTAGAGTTTTCAAGTTTAGGGGACATTATTGCTACTTTGAAGAAGGTTGTGCTTAAAAACACCTGACATTCTTTACTCCGTATGGGGCCCTGAGAGATGTGGCTGGAGAGATCAAGACAAGAATCCTCATGTCGGGCCCGCAGGCTACCTGGCAGGACTGCTGTGATGACCTCAGGGCCACCACCACCCTTCGCCTCGCCCGAGGGCCAGGGGCAGGACCGAGGCTGCACCTGACCTCGGTGTCTCCAGCACGCACAGGCGCTCTACTAACACAGTGGCCGGCAAACTGCGGCTCCCGAGCCACATGCAGCTCTTTGGCCCCTTGAGTGTGTGGCTCTTCCACAAAATACCACGAAGAAGTGGCATTAGAAGACGCTTCAGTTTTAAAAACGTGGCTCTCAAGAGAAATGTCAATCGTTGTGCTTGTTGATATTTGGCTCTGTGGACGAATGAGTTTGCCGACCACTGGTCTCACATAACCAAGGTCTCTGGGAAGAATGGAAGTTGGGGTTGGAGGCGCATCAAGACGGAGGGAGCCCCAAGAGGTGCATTTACAGACGGCACGGGGATGATGCCACAGGATTCTAAACAATAGCAGCGAGGTGGGCGGGGTGTGCAAGAAGCCCCCGGGGGAAAAACAGGTGACACTGCCGCCTGGCGCGTCCATGTCACTAGATTACTGAGCGGGAGGGGGAGAACAATAGCACAAACAGCTCTATTGCGGGACTACAAAACCTCCAGTCCACGTGAACCCGTAACAGAAACCAGGAAGCCTGCAGCCACGCCCGCGGAGGCCGTCCGCCACTCCCCGCGGCTCCCCGGGCACCAGGGCGGGAACGGGGCGGGCAGGGGCTCCGGGCTCGGACCCGTCCCTGCTGCGCAGCGTCTCGGCCGACCTCTGCCCCCCGCCCCAGGGCGCTAACGTGACCCGCGGCCGGTGACCTGTGACCTCCCGGCGGCCGGCCCCGCGGGCTCCAGGGGCGGCGCGCTCTCGCGCATGGCGAGTGTGGCTTTCTCCGGCTGTTCACAAAGAGGCCCGAGGGACTAAGATGGTGTCCGCCGGGCGCCCCGGGAGCGGCCGCCAGGAGGATGTGTGGGCCCGACAGCCGGCGGTACGAAGCGGGGAGTCCAGAGGCCCCGCGCTCCCACGGCCGGAGCACGGCAGCGCACGCCGCCCGACGGAACAAATGTGGGCCGGGCAGAACGCCCGAAGCTGCGAGAGGCGGGGCGGGATTCTGGTCACCATCTCGCGACGTCTCAGTGACGTCGCACGGCACTCGCGTGTTCCACTCTTTCACCTTCAGTCCGCTCCCGCGGTACGTGGGCCTACCCCTTTAAGCGAGTGATTGACAGTTAGTTCAGCCACTCAACGCCCCCACCACCATCCAATCAGATTTAAATTTCTCTCAGCCGCCAAAGGAGTTGGAAAAAGGGGTCGAAAGAGGGAGAGCTCTCTCGCGCGAGATCGCCGGGAGGCGGCCTCTGAGGGAAAAAAACAAAACAAAACAAGAAAACGCCAGAAAAGATGGCCCGACCTTCCAAGCAGTGGGTTAAAGGACGGGGTCGAAAACCAATAAAAGGGATGAGGAGGCGGGACCATCGCTTTCCGTAGCCAGAAGTACCGTTACAGGGCACACTTTTTGTCCAATCAACGCCTCCAGACTTTGGCTCAGGTGACCACAGAGTGCGAGGGGCGGGGCTACAGCCTGGCGCGAGGAACCGTTAAGACGGACACCGAGTGTAACCAATGAGGTACTCCGGCTGTGGCGTTGGGAACCCAATAACAGTGGTCGGGCGGGCGCCTTCCCGGAGCGCGGGGAGATGTAAAGACAGACACGCAGTTTTCCCAATGAGACTGTAGAAGAGGGGAGCTACTGGGCCAATGGAGGCTGCGGGGCGGGATCCTTTGCAGCGGCGGAGCCCAAGATGGCGGCATGCGGTTCCGCTGTGTGAAACCAGCGCGGGGCGGCGGGTTCCTCAGCTCCGCGGAGACGACCTCCGGCGACCCGCAGCCATGAAGGGGAAAGAGCGCTCTCCGGTCAAGTCCAAACGCTCCCGTGGCGGTGAGGATTCGACTTCTCGCGGGGAGCGGAGCAAGAAGTTGGGGGGCTCCGGCGGCAGCAATGGGAGCAGCAGCGCTAAGACCGACGGCGGCGGCGGGTCGCGGCGCAGCCTTCATCTCGACAAGTCCAGCGGCCGAGGCGGCAGCCGCGAGTACGACACGGGCGGGGGCAGCTCCAGCAGCCGCCTGCACAGCTACAGCTCCCCGGGCGCTAAGAATTCCTCGGGCGGGGGCGAGTCGCGCAGCAGCTCCCGCGGCGGAGGCGGCGAGTCACGCTCCTCGGGGGCCGCCTCCTTGGCCGCGGACGGCGGGGAGTACAAGACCCTGAAGATCAGCGAGCTGGGCTCCCAGCTGAGCGACGAGGCGGTGGAGGACGGCCTGTTCCACGAGTTCAAACGCTTCGGCGACGTGAGTGTCAAAATCAGCCACCTCTCGGGTTCCGGCGGCGGGGACGAGCGCGTAGCCTTTGTGAACTTCCGGCGGTCGGAGGACGCGCGGGCGGCCAAGCATGCCAGAGGCCGCCTGGTGCTCTACGACCGGCCCCTCAAGATCGAGGCCGTGTACGCGAGCCGCCGCCGCAGCCGCTCCCCGCTGGACAAAGACTCCTACCCGCCGTCGTCCAGCGTGGTCGGGGCCTCTGTCGGCGGCCACCGGCACGCTCCCGGAGGAGGCGGGGGCCAGAGGTCCCTTTCCCCCGGCGGGGCGGCCTTGGGGTACAGAGACTACCGACTGCAGCAGCTGGCGCTCGGCCGCCTGCCCCCTCCCCCGCCGCCGCCCTTGCCCCGGGACCTGGACAGGGAGCGGGACTACCCGTTCTACGAGAGAGTGCGCCCCGCATACAACCTTGAGCCCCGGGTGGGAGCCGGAGCAGGTGCTGCTCCTTTCCGGGAAGTGGACGAGATCTCACCGGAGGACGATCAGCGAGCTAACAGGACGCTTTTCTTGGGCAACCTAGACATCACGGTGACCGAGAGCGATCTGAGAAGGGCTTTCGATCGCTTCGGGGTCATCACAGAGGTGGACATCAAGAGGCCTTCGCGGGGCCAGACCAGTACCTATGGTTTTCTCAAATTTGAGAACCTGGACATGTCTCACCGAGCCAAACTAGCAATGTCTGGCAAGATTATCATTCAGAATCCTATCAAAATAGGTTATGGTAAAGCTACACCCACCACCCGCCTCTGGGTCGGTGGCCTGGGACCTTGGGTGCCCCTCGCTGCCCTCGCACGAGAATTTGACCGATTCGGCACCATCCGCACCATAGACTACCGCAAAGGTGATAGCTGGGCCTACATCCAGTATGAAAGCCTGGATGCCGCTCATGCTGCCTGGACCCATATGCGGGGCTTTCCACTTGGTGGCCCAGATCGTCGCCTTAGAGTAGACTTTGCAGACACAGAACATCGGTACCACCAGCAGTATCTGCAGCCTCTGCCCTTAACTCATTATGACCTGGTGACAGATGCTTTTGGACATCGGGCACCGGATCCTTTGAGGGGTGCGAGGGATAGGACACCACCCTTACTATACAGAGATCGTGATCGGGACCTGTATGCTGACTCCGATTGGGTGCCGCCCCCGCCCCCGGCCCGGGAACGCAGCACTCGGACTGCCCCCACTTCTGTGTCTGCTTATGAGCCGCTGGATAGCCTGGATCGCAGGCGGGATGGCTGGTCCTTGGACCGGGACAGAGGTGACCGAGATCTGCCCAGCAGCAGGGACCAGCCTAGGAAGCGAAGGCTGCCTGAGGACAGTGGGGGCCGGCATCTGGATAGGTCCCCTGAGAGTGACCGTCCTCGGAAACGTCACTGCGTTCCCTCCTCTCCTGACCGCAGTCCAGACTTGAGCAGTAGCCGGGATCGCTACAACAGTGACAACGATCGATCTTCTCGTCTTCTCCTCTTGGAAAGGCCCTCTCCAATCAAAGACAGACGCGGCAGTTTGGAGAAAAGCCAGGGTGACAAGCGAGACCGCAAAAACTCTGCATCGGTTGAGCGTGATAGGAAGCATCGGACAGCTGCTCCCACTGAGGGAAAAAGCCCTCTGAAAAAAGAAGACCGGCCGGATGGGGGTGCAGCCAGCGCCAGCGCCGTTTCTTCCAAGTTGAAGTCCCCTTCCCAGAAGCAGGATGGGGGGACAGCGCCTGCGGCCGCAGCCTCTCCCAAGCTCTGCTTGGCCTGGCAGGGCATGCTTCTGTTGAAGAACAGCAACTTTCCTTCCAACATGCATCTGTTGCAGGGCGACCTCCAAGTGGCTAGTAGTCTTCTCGTGGAGGGCTCCAGCGGAGGCAAAGTTGCCCAGCTCAAGATCACTCAGCGTCTTCGTTTGGACCAGCCCAAGTTGGATGAAGTAACTCGGCGCATCAAAGTGGCAGGGCCCAATGGTTATGCCATTCTTCTGGCTGTGCCTGGAAGTTCTGACGGCAGATCCTCTTCCTCCGCCACGACAGATACTGCCACCTCTACTCAGAGGCCACTTAGGAACCTGGTGTCCTATTTAAAGCAAAAGCAGGCTGCTGGGGTGATCAGCCTCCCCGTGGGGGGCAACAAAGACAAGGAAAACACCGGGGTCCTTCATGCCTTCCCACCCTGTGAGTTCTCCCAGCAGTTCCTGGATTCTCCTGCCAAGGCACTGGCCAAATCTGAAGAAGATTACCTGGTCATGATCATTGTTCGTGGTGCGTCCTAAAGTCCATGTGTAACTTGTATTTGCTACTTTGACATGGTTCCTGTTTGGTGATGTGTAATGGGATACAGCATTAGGTGAAATTCTCTTTTCAATTAGTTGTGTAGTTGTAGCCTTTTTTTTTATATTTTTATAACCTTATAGAAGTCAGGATAATTTAGTTATTAAGTGAAAGGGATGCCCTGAAGGTAGCAGGCAGATGGATTTACTTTAATTAGCAGTTCTCACTCTTACGAGTAACTTCTTTCCTCCTCTTTGTTTTTTTTTTCTTTTTTCACCTTGAGCTTAAAAAAAAAAAATCCTCAAAGTTACAAAACCAAAATTTTGAAGTCAAAATCTGGAGGAAAAAGCCCATTGATTATATAAAGATATGCACCTAAATATGGCTTGATTGGTATGTAGGTAAATAATTTCTGTACCAGAAATATTATTTGTATGAAAAATTTTATCAGGGACCTCAAAAAGTATATGCTGGTAAATTGTATAGCTATGTATTTTAATCAGGTATTTGAGTATTTCTCTTAAAATACACGGTTTATTCCCAGAAAGTTTGCTTTAACATATGCATCTTTATCATCAATTCTTGAGTTCTGTATCCCGTATTTGCACTTTTGGTTTGTAGCTGTAACTGTTCAGTAAAAATTGAGGAGTATGTTACAAACCATATGTCTTATGCTTACACTAGTATGCAAGTGAGTAGGTGCTTTTAAACTCAGAATTCTTTGGTCAGTTATTGGTGTGTGGGTTGTTTTTACTGATTTTTTCAGAGAAGTGTAGCAGGTACATTTCTAATTGTGCATATTTTAAAACTCAAGTGTTTTTCATCAAAGATGAGTTTTTGTATTCATTCTAATTCCTGATTTCAATAATAGAAAGAAGAGTTGTTTGCAGGCTCATAAGTCATCTTTTGTTTCTATGGGCATTAATCAGCCATTTCTAGATAGCAGAATTTTTTAGTCATCGTGAAATGCCTTTGACGTGCTCTTAAAATTTTGCTTGTATTCTTATTTTCATATTTAAACAGTAGCGATGACATTACATTATGGAAAATGTTTGGACTGTCTTTGAAATATTGGGCTTAATATTTGCACTGGTCCAACCACAGAGAATTAAAATGTCAGTGTAAGGAAAACTTTTTGTTTTATTTTCCCAGACATCTGGAATTAATTGAAAATAACCCACCCTCATGGTTTTTTTTTTTTTTGTTTGTTTGTTTTAAAGCTGAAGATTATAGTGACTTCTGGTTCTTAACAAGGGATTTCGCTGCTTAACAGTAATGGATGATTTTTGGGGTCTTTCCCCCCCCCCCCCATCTATTCCTTAGCCCCCACTTCTAGTTTCTCAGATCATTAGTATATCCACTCCTCCCCATTCCCTTTCTCCTCCCTCCCCCACACACGCCCCCGATTTAAATACTGAAAACTTTGGCTAAGGCCCTTGATATTTAACTATGATTAGAAACTTTAGGACCTTTTGGTTCATGGTCATGTTTCTATTCTGTGAAAGTGACTTATTGAAAGCCTGGCAGAACCCAACTGTTTTCTTTCTGTTATCAAAGCTGGTAGTTTAAAATAGCACCAATAATAACCCAGGGAAGTGTCATGTAATTTTTTGTTTTTCATTACGACAGGTCTCTAATGCATGTTAGCATGAAAACCTCACCGCTGCTTTGTTTTGTTTGGTTTTCACTATGCATTCATAAATATTCTTTTTAGGTTTAGAGATTTGTTTGTTTGTTTTTAAACTGGAAAAACTAGTCATTTTGAGGGAAGGAAAGTACTAGGCTATAAACACAAATGCTCCTGGTTACCCTGTAGGGAAAATACCTAAAGTCCTAACAATTAAAGCTTTGGGTGCTTTTTTCTTTTTCCTTTTCTTTCTTTTCCTTTTTTCTTTTTTTTTTTTTTAATGTATATATTCTTACTGATTTCAGAGGTGAAGGGGAGAGAGAGAGAGAGAGAAAGAGAGAGAGAGAGAAAGAGAGAGGGAGAAAGACATCAATGATGAGAGAGGATCATTGATTTCATGCCCCCCACCGAGGACGCAGCTTGCTACCATGGGTACTCACCCTGACCAGGAACATGCCCTGATAGGGAAATCAAACCGAAACCTCCTAAGTTCATAGGAGCTTAGCGCTCAACCACTGAGCCATGCCTGCCGGGCTGCTTTTTGCTTTTAAAAGGCCGATGTGGCATGGTAATATGGCATAGACACCTGTTCAGAAACTAAGGCAAGTGTGCATTCTGTTCATACATGGGGTCAAAGTACAGTTTGGCTAGATACATTTTTCCAGTTTAAATCTCACTAACCATTAACTTTTGAATATCTTGTGATAAGATGACTGGACAAGTAATTTTGCTCCTTTAGGGAGTGAAGTCCATGACATCTGATTTTATGATAATTCAAAGTGTGTGTGCTTTTCTCTCTTTTTTTTCTCTCTTTTTGTGTGCTTGCTCCATGTTTGTGTGAATTTTTATTTGACATCGCAGCTTTTGTTAAATCTGGGAAATTTGTGCTTCAGTGTTTTAGGAACAATGGCTTGATATCATTTCTAAACGTATGTATTGTAAATACCTAATTATGTTTTGTTTGGTGCTTACCTACAGAGTGCCATCATTCAGATGAATCTCTTATTTGTGATACCCATTCTCGTGCAGTTTTATAATATTGGTGAACTATTGACTTAAATCTTCAGAATGGAATGAAAGCAAAAGTCTAAAACTGATGCTGATTGATCAGAATTTCATTATCTCAGCATTGGGTGTTCTTTGTAGCAACCAATTTTTTCTACTTCTTATACTTTAAAAAAAATACTTGTTTAGTTGATGTTTCTGGAATTCAGTTCAAATTAATGGAAAGAAAATTTCTTCAGTGTATCATTTAATGACTTATTAAGTATTGCTGGTGAAAACGTCAAGCTAATTAAGACTTTTGGATCACTACTTCGAAGTTTATGGAAAATTAAGCAAGCGTTCAGCTCCTAGCCAGTTTTTTTAATATTATTTTGTTGGTTGTAACGATTCTTAGAGTTTTCCACACAAAAAATTAAATTCCTTGTTTAAGATGTATACGTTGACTTTTAACTGAGCATAGATAGACTTCCCTTTAAAGATTACACCTTAAAATGTCCATCCTCTGGCTTGTATAAGTTTTTGACACATTTTGAAGGTAATATGTTCTGGCCCTTCTCTTAACTAGATCATTTGAGATACAGTAGCAAAAGATAGGTGTTTGTTCGTTGCTTTCGGAATCAAAAACAGTTTAGGTTTATTTAAAACTTATGAGCAGTTTTTCACTGACATTACCTTTTTTTTTTCTTTTTCTTTTTCTTTCTTAAATCCACTGTTTTTAGACAGTGAAATTGCTCATTATATAGGCGTAGCTTGAATTGCAGTTTGGAACCATTCACCAAAAACTCTGTGGTAACAGAATTAGGAAATCCTCTTGAGAAGAGGGCCTTTATGACTTTTCATGTGAAAAAAATTTTGGAGAGAATTTCTGGACATTTTTCACTGTCTCTGCCACAATGCATGGTTTTGAGATAGGTAGAAGTTAAGAATTAGAACAAGCAGAGGAGACGTGGATGTGACCCTGTTAACATTCTGGTTACAGTGACGTTGCTAAGGGAGGGGAGAAAATGAGTCAGGTCACCGCAGTGAGCTGTCCATCTTCATAAAAAGTTTTATGTGTGATTTCAACAGCACTGAAAAGTAAAAGTCCTAAAATGTTCTTGGCTTTTTAGCAATGAGTTTATGTGAGTGTTTTTCTTAAAGTAACAGCTGCTGTCTTTGGTAACATGGATAAAGGTGGATTTTTAAGTGGTTTTGACCCCTTTCTATAATAATGGAGCAGTTCTGTATTGCTCCATATAAATTTCAGAATGAAAATAGAGGGGGTAAAAGTTTCACTAAACTTTACTGTTTTACTGTTTCATTTTTTAAGTTATATGTAGAATATATTGATTATAGGTTGATGATAAACTTGCTGTCCTCTGAAATTTTTTTCAGTGTGTTTTGCTCAGTTACATGAGTATAAAGGATATTTTCAGTCCTATAATCCTCACTTAATTGCAGTCTTTAAAAAAAAAATTCACCCTATTCTACTTGTTATTTGTCTGTTCATACAGTAAATTTGTTTCAAGGTTTGTGCCAATGGGTATTATTGGTGCTTTTTGAGGTCAAGGTATCCAGGAAGGGCTTGTTAACAGTGTGTTCATCTATGATGGCGTAGGGAAAATATATATATTTTTAATATTGTAAACATTTTTACTGAATAACCTTTTTTTCCCTTCTGCAAGCAAAGCTGGTGAACAGTGGATGAAGATACGGAAATCAAAGCTCTAATGGACCTTTTCGAAGAGAAGTTGTGGCTTGTGTGGAGTTTCCACGGGCCTCTTGATGGAAGAAAGCTAATCTGTTTAGTATTTGTGCATTTTACTAAAATGGCAGCTTAAAGTTGTGTATCTGCTATTGTGATGCCAATGCCGGTGTTTTAAGTGGAAAAAAAAATGACCTCTTGCTTTGTGCTGTGTACACAAGATTTCTGGAAAAGTAAAGAAAAACCCTTTTTATGGCTCACACAGCTTAAAAGTAGCTGTCACTCAAAGTTGAGCTCACAGTTGAGCTGCTTTTGTTTTATTCTAAATAAATTGTTTCTTTTGAGGAAAATGTTTTTCTGCCTGGAAGTGAATTGACGGCAAACCTTTGACCCCTTTGTTTGCAGCTGAGGCGTTACTTGCTGCTGCTCAGATCTCGTATGTCCTGAGCAAGAAGCAGGGAGACCATCATTTTGACTTATCGCGGTGTGTCCATTCTGAAGGATCGCTAGTGTTCCGTGACCCCCTTTGTTTGCAGCGAAGGGGATCATTGCTTCTCGGTCCTCAACCTGCTGAGGACATGGTGCTGTTGGCTGGCACGAAAGAAGCCGGGGCGAGCACCCTAAGCCTCACCACAGTGCACAAGCCGGGGGCTTTGCTGGTTGAAGAGCCGGAGTTGCTGAAATTTAAGTTTTGATTTATTTTGTTCACCTGTCACGTTTGGCCTTAGTTTCATTTTTAATTTGAAGAAAAGTTTGCGATTGCTTTATCTTGCACTTAACATTTGCACCAAATTGCCAAAAGAAGGAGAATGCTCCGTGTGCTTTTTAAATGTTAATGATGGTGTTAATAAAGCCTTTCCCGACCCATTGGAGGAGCTCCTCCGTCTCCAGGGGCTTCTCACCAGAGGTATGCAGTGATGGGTTTAGTTCTGAATGGATGAAGAGTTCCTGAGAGCTAGCGTTTGTAATTAGAGCCGTTACTCGGTATCTGTGCCTTACCTGACCTGTGGTTCCACATGCCTTGGATGTGCATGCACCGTGACGGTTTCATAGGTACGAACGCACACTCAGGCCCAGACACCTCGGTTGGTAGTACAGATGGTGAGGAAAAAAATGGAGGCATCCTTAAGGAGGAGGAAGTGTTTGCCTTTAGTTCCTGCACTGTCCTGCACAGGGGGTCCTGAGCTTTGGAAGCTGTTCCCAGTGCAGGAGAACAACTCCCCTCTTTGCAGAGGAGACTTCCGTGCACGGTGACAACGCTGGAGCTCAAGAGGAAGCCAGCCGTGCTGCGCCATTGGCCTCAGACACCACTGTTGTTTGCCAGTTGTAAACCTAACTAGTTGCAGACGAAGACCACCTTGAAATGCAGGCTCGCTGGGCTTGTTTTGAATTGTAACCTCGGATGGAAGAGCCTAGTGCTGTGTGTCTCCATGCGGGAGGATGATTACTTAGGCAACAGGTGATTACCAACAAAGGATGCCACGCTTATACTCTGCAAGGTGGTGTTCCAGTGGCAAACAGCTGTATAGACTCTTGTAAACAGGTAAGAGGGTTTGTAGAGGTCAAAATGCGTTCTAATGAACAGGGTGAGGGGTTTTAATGTTGGGGGGATGCTTCTCGGGAAATCTTCAGGCACTGCCTCCCCGTCACCAAAGTCTTGTCTGTAAAATTCCAGGCCAGAACTTTTGTTCTACTGGAATTTTTATTTAAAAAAAAATTATTGTGGGAGCCAAAGCATTGAAATCTTGGTTATGGATTTGGGGCCTACAACCTTGATATCCTTTAAAATTTTGACATTTTCCATTAGCCATGACCTTCACCCTTGGTGATGATTTACTGGTGCTGGAAGAATTTCCTGCTGTAAATCTCAAGTTAACAAAATTATAGTATGTAGCAACAACAACAAAGAAATGTCTACCAGGAATGATAGATAATTTAGCCAAAATGGTTAGTTTCTTTTAGTTTTTTTTTTCTTGTCCTACAAAGATTAATTATAAAATTTGGCCACTACAACTTTAGGGGAGTGAACAGACAATGTTGACAAGGCTATTACATCATTTTCATGGTCCATTTAGTCTTCCCAGCCTCTGAACCCTTCCGGCTCCTCCCCCAACATTAAGTGTGAGATTTTGGCAACTTAACATAACTATAAAGAAAATTATAAACAAACACAATAGTTTAATGTATAACACAATTTAGGTTTTCTTGGTTTATTGAAAATGGGATAAGAATTTTGGGCATTTTTTAAATGAAATTTTTGTTTATCTCTTATAAAGGGGAAAGATCTTTTTTCTTTTTTTTCTCTTTTTTTCCAGATTTTTCAGTGTGCCTTACAAGAGTTTTTAAACATCTGCTTATGAGTTGGCTGCCATCTAAAGCTTTGCTGAATGATTGCTTACCTACATGTCTAAAGGATTTTATACCTGTTAGGAATGTTAATTTCCAGTGCATTTTCTTTCTCTGGCTAGTTCATACTGAAAGCCCATTAAGTCATTTTTTCCAGTTATTAAGTATTTTAAGTTAGTATAGCGGTTTGAGGAAGATTATGTTATACTCTACATATTTCTGCATATCTGGAATCTTTCTAAGATCTCAGGCTTCCTCTCTCAATGATAAGAAATGTTGCACCAAGGCTTTTGCTTATTTGTATGTGAAACTATATGCAAAATGGAAAGGTACACAGTATGCCAATTTTGAAATTAGTCAAGAAGTTTTAACGCCAGCTACACTGGGAAAGAAAAACTAATTAGGTCCACGGTTAGATCTAGGGTTCTGGTTTTGTAAATTGGAAACTGCCCTTTTGAAATACTAGTGTGGTTTCTCATTGTCTTTCACATGATCTAAGTTTAGGGTTCTACTTTAAAGGAAATAATTCCTTGACCATCTCTGAATTGATTTGTAATGTTGGGAAGTCTGGCTGTGAGGGTTAAAATTGAAAATAGGGATTACCCTGACTTTGGTAAATCAACCTTGATTTTATAAATTGCCACTTGTGTAGGTTAAGTTATATTGTTGTTTCCAAGTTGTTTATCTCAGGAAATAAATTTAGTACTTATGACTTGTATAGCATCTATTTTCTTTGTGCAATAGGGTATCTGATTATGGCTTGTTGATCACCTTTATCTCCCATCTTACTCCCTTTAAGCTTCCCTGGTTAAAAGACCCTTTTACTTAACTTGAATTGTAACCTAGTTTTAAGTTGTTAGCAGAGGAATTTATTGAATAACAAAATTCCTTCAAACCTCAGACATGATTGTTCTTAGCAATTAAGAAGAGATTTTGACCTTAAGTAAAGTGACATAACCATAACCAGGTAAATAGTTAAATATCAGGGGAAAAGTTCACAGTTTAAAACAACTCTAGGAGAGATGTCACAATATTGTGTTGGTTTACTAATGAATTTTCACGGTGATATGGGTATATGAATGAGTAGATGAAGTTTAAGGTTACTTTAAGCTGGAATGGTCATAAGCCTTACAAAAGAGTTTGTTAGTTGGAGAAGGATGTGGATTGGGGGGGAGGTTGGGATTGAGATATCAGGCAGACAAGCATGAATCACAATCTAGCAGCCTATTGATTGATGGAAAAGATGCAGGCGGAATCTTGGAAAAGGAGTAAAATGGTTGGGTCAACAAAAACAGAATCCTGAGGGTAAGCCAGTTTGAGGAGGGCAAGGAGTGAGGATGCACAACCAGTTGAAAAAGTAACAATATTAATAATAGCAATCACCGAATACCCCCTTTACGCCAACATTCTGCCAAATTTTATTACACATTGTCTCATGTCTCACCACAGGCCATAATGTTATAGCTAGTAAGTGATAGAACCAGGATTCTAACCAGGCCTTTATTGTCACTGTACTGACACACTTCGCTACTCTCTGCGGGCTGGGATGGGATGGAAGCTATAACCTTCAGCATATGGGCAATGGATTTCAAGCTATGGAGTGTATCAACATTCGGAGTTCTTGGGAAACATACAGGCCCTTCCCTGACTCCAATCCCAGACACTCGGGGATTTGTTAGGGCCAGTATGGCCCAGGAGTCTGCTCTTTCACAAGCTCCCAGGTCAGTTCTGCTGTAGTCTGGTCAGTGGCCATGTGTTGAGCAGCACTGTCCCAGAGTGGAGTGCTGAAGTATGGACATATTTAAGACATGGGAAGGGAACATGGTGCTGGGAAAGAAACCCCGGTAGGAGAGCCAGAATATACTGTTCTCTCTGAAGCTGAGATGAGGCACTTCCAGATGAATTAAAGCTGTTGCACAGACAAGCAGAATGAAACGACAAATGCCATGGAATTTATCACTGAAAGTGGCACTTAAATAACAGTCTTATAGTCACATAATTATTTCTCCAAGGAATTCAATCTTGCTTAGTATTTAATTTTGCCTTATAACAGTCTGTGAAGAAGGGCCACTTTTTAGTTTATTATATGCTAAAGGGATATCAGAAAAGTTTGTGACTTGGGTAAGGAATACACAGCCAGGAAAGGATTGAGATATCCTTGAGTTTTCATGTTAATCTAAAAATAATGTGACTATAGTCTAACTTAAATTAAAATTGCAGTTGATACTAGGATTGCATGTGTCTGTACACATGCAAGTTATTTTCCATGAATGAACATCAACTGTCAACTACCTTCTAACTAGGTTACCAATAGGATGGAGACAATAGAATTATAGGTAAAGTTGAGCGTTTCTTTGACTTGTAAATAGTTGAAAGATTTCCTATTTTGAATTATGTGTACTGGGTTGTCTTCAATTAATATAGCTAATTCTTCACATATTTAGTTACCTGTTTTATAGCACAGTGTTTTTCAACCTTTTTTGGGCAAAGGCACACTTGTTTCATGAAAAAAATCACGAGGCACACCACCATTAGAAAATGTTAAAAAATGTAACTCTGTGCCTATATTGACTATATATAAAGTAATTCTCTTGAATAGGAATCAAATAAACACAAAGAAAGTATTTTATAATTACTTTATTATGAAATATTAAGTAAACAAAATAGTGAAAAATTATAAAATTCTTGTCTTGTCTGCACCTACGGCACACCAGGCAACATCTCGCGGCACACTACAGCGGTTGAAAAACGCTGTTATAGCAGGCATTATTCTAGATCTTGGGGGGAGGAGTATATTGATAAAGAAAACAGTTTCTCTTTCTCGTGGAACTTACTTTCTGATGGAAGAAGGGAGGTAGTGCACCATGTTAGGGCCTTGTTGCCAAGGACAAAGGGTTTGGATTATTTTAGTCTAAGGGCTGAGTGTGATGGAAAGTTATTGGAGGTTTTAAGCAGGAGTGATGTGATTTGATCAAGATTTGACTACCTGTCTCAGGAAAGTAACACAAATTTCCTAATATTATTTCCAAGCTTGAGAATAACACCTGACATGTAATAGGTGGCCAAATATTTGAAGAATTAATTAACTAGCTACATAAACTGAAGATAAACCGGTATAGGTAATTCGAAATAGGAACTCCTTCAAACATTTACAAGTCAAATTTCCTTCAAAGATAATTAGCATTTCAGATTTTCTGTTACACTGTGTTCTTAAGAGATCCGCAGTGTTCCATATTTAAATACCATAATAGAAATTTCATTTTTTCTTCAGGTTCATAATTGTTGGCCACCTTAAGGTTTCTCATCATGTTATTTCTTATTCTACCTGCTTTCCTCAGACTCATGACAGTTTCAGCCGTAGGCATACATAGTCATCATATGTAATTTTTGCTATAACACATGGACCATGCTTTCTATATTTCATAACTTGCCAATTTCTCCAGCGATATCAAACCAAACTTCCTTACTAAAAGTCAGTTTAGAGGGTCTTTCTGTAAAATGGCTGTCATCCTATGCAAACGAGATCGTGTGTTTATACAATTTTTAAGTGCTGAATTGGTATCTGACCTTTCCCAAATGACCAACAGATTTCCTTTTACCCAGTAAAAGAACTTCATACATTTATATTCAGATTAGAACTGTGATCACAGGCAACATTAACACTTTGAGGTGCTACAGACATACATATTTTAAGGCATCTTGGGGAAATTTCATATAATTTAAAAAAATATATATTTTATTGATTTTCCACAGAGAGGAAGGAAGAGGGATAGAGAGCTAGAAACGTCAATGAGAGAGAAACATCGACCAGCTGCCTCTTGCACACCCCCTACTGGGGATGTGCCTGCAACCAAGGTACATGCCCTTGACCGGAATCAAGCCTGGGACCTTTCAGTCTGCAGACCAACGCTCTATCCACTGAGCCAAACCGGTTTTGGCTCCATATAATTTTTATTTCAGCATATAGAAACTGACAATAGTTATACTTTACTCTCAAGACAAGCATCTAGTGTGTGTGTATTCTTTATATGCAGAACTACCTCAATAAATTAGGTTCCTTAATTAGAATTTTTCTGAGTTCTGCATAGCAGAGGTCTTAAACCTGGCTCCACATTGGAGTCAACTTTTTAATACCAATGGCTGGGACAGGTGCTCAGAGCTTCATAAAAATTGATCGTAGGTCAAGTGGGACTCTGCCCAGTTCCCAGTATTTGTTTTGTTTTCACTGTCCCAGGTGACTGCTGTGTAGCCAGGGTTGAAAACCACTGCTGCAGAAACAAAGGTTAAACAGACGGGTTCAGTACAGCAGGTATATTGCTTAGTCTTCTACCATCCTTGCTATTCAGAGTGTGGTCCAGCAGCGTTAGCATCACTTGGAAGTTGGTTAGAAATACAAAATTGCAGAGCCTCACCCCAAACCTGTTGAATGGACCCAGATCCCCAGGCAATTGGTATGTACCGGACTTGAAAGATCGAGAAGCACTGCTGAAGATGTAGATACATAGATATTCTGTGTAGTAATAAAAATAGATGATGAGACTTATCCCTTCTGAGTAAGATTCTCAGATTTGTGATTTAGTCAGTGACATTTACTTTAAAGAATTTAAAAAAGATTTTTCAACAAGAAACGGAGGCACAAAAGAGTTCTTAGGAAGCTTCTGGCGACAAGAGACCAGTGGTCTCTGCCACCAAGACCAGGGAGGGGTTACCATGGCCTCTCCTAGTTGATTCTTGGTTATTTTATGTTTATGGCTTTTTTCTGTCTTTCCTATTATATTCTAGTCCACTCTTTTCTTTATGAGAGTGAACATGTTACTTTTTATAGATAAAGATGAGGTTATTTGAGACTCTGTTTGATGATAGATGTCCCCTAATTTAGAAAATTTGGTCGAGGTAGGTATAGAACTTTCAGTGGGGAGAGGGATATGGACAGGACTGGAGTGTGGTTCCTATAGGGCCTTTCTGTTTTTATTTTTTATTTTTTAAAAATATATTTTATTGATTTTTTACAGACAGGAAGGGAGAGAGATAGAGAGCTAGAAACATCGATGAGAGAAACATCGACCAGCCACCTCTTGCACACCCCCTACCGGGGATGTGCCCGCAACCAATGTACATGCCCTTGACCAGAATTGAACCTGGGACCTTTCGGTCCGAAGACCGACGCTCTACCACTGAGCCAAACCTGCTTCGGCAGGGCCTTTCTGTTTTAATTTTAATATTACAGTAACTTCATAAGTGAACTGATTTTTCTCACATAGCAATAAGAATAAGAAATCTAATTTATATTCAATTCATCTTAAAGTTCACAGTAACATAATATAACAAATGTTAAAATTCACATATGCTAACAGGAGTGGTTCAGTATGAATGTTCAAAGAATAAATTGCAAAGTATCAATTTAGACTCAGGAATGATATTTTTAATGTGTTCGTTTTTACGATGAAAGATACTAAAATACATTTGCCAAGCAACCATGTCGATACCAAATGAAAAACTGCAGCTAGACTGTTCTCACATCCCACAGTTTTTAAATTGACGTGTGTGTTTTGCAGAGATTTTTTTTTTTGTCAAGCACAGCACTGTCAGCATCTCTAGAAACCTTTTCTAGACTTTATTTGTGACTTACCGATTCCTCCTGAGACCTGAGAGGTTCGCTTTTAGTGGAGACTTACCGATTCCTCCTGAGAAATTTCATTTGTGAAATTTACCCTCCTCAGTGTTATCTCACTGAAAATTCAGTCTGCAAAAGGAGTGACTTCATCTGAACTTTAAAGTTTGGGGATTGAAAATACTCCTGTGATACATGAGTTGGTTTTGCTTTAATGTGTTGGTTTAAAGGTATTTTGAACCTGCAATGATACTTTTGCTTCTGTTTGTTGCTTCTGAAATTTAGAGATATCTGAAGGTCTACTATAACTTTTTAAAATACATATGGTATTGGATCTACTTCCTCTGCTTTAATAGCCAAGTTGAAAGGAGGGAGCATTTCTAAGTACAGTAATTGGTTAAATGTCTTTTTTTCCTCCTGGGTTTCTTTTTTAGGAACTACTGAGAATCAAAAACCGTTAGCCGATTTTGGGATTTGGCTTTATTATTCAGCAACTAAAAGATGAGTTCTAATTGGCAGACTTCTGGCATTGGCACTTGTCCTCCTGTTTCTATAGAAACGGTGGGAAGTCAGAGCTGCACAAGGGAAAGGGTAAGTGTCTTGTAAACTCCATATTTATAAACCCATACGTTATTAACTGGCGTGGCGTCAGTTTCCACGTAAAGGTAAGATTCCCATCAAGGAACTGGAACTTAAATATGAACCACTAATTTTCACGAGTGGAAACTGACATCAAGTCATTAAATATCAGGAGGGTTTAAATATGGATTTATTTTTCTCGTGACTCTGACTTCAAGTTTCTTGAAGCAGCTAACTCAGTATAATTTGCATGTTCAGTTATTTCTAATTTAGGGGGTCATAAAATTGATTTTTATCCTTTTAGGTCTAATTCTGTTGTACTTTTCTGTAAGTGAACATTGGAATATAAAATGTAGAGAGGACATTTTAAAGGTCCACATGAACTATAAGTCTGTTCTTTGGAACAGACTTATTTTTTAATATGTTTTATTGATTTCAGAGAGTAAGAGAGAGGGGGAAACATCAATGATGAGAGAGAATTGATTGGCTGCCTTTTTCACGCCTCCCACTGGGGATTGAGCCCGAAACCCGAGAATGTGCCCTTGACTGGAATCGCACCCGGGACTCTCAGTCCGCAGGCTGAAGCGCTGTCCACTAGCCAAACCAGCTAAGGGCCAAAGTCTGATTCTCTACACTATATAACAAGTACTGTATTGCTGACCAGCTCTTTAGCCTCTCTCTCTCTCTTATCCAAGCAGGAAGGGTCATCTGCTGGGCACACACATTTGTTCTCATCCAGGCAGGCACCCGTTATTCGTAGAGCCTAAGACAGCTGCCAGTTGGTGAGTCAGTCATCTTATTGCTGTGGCTTCAGAGGGCTAAGTGCATAGCTGGGGCATGGAGGCTTGAAATTGTCTAATCAAGTGTGACAAACTGATCGACAGGTTGGTGTATATAAATGATTAGTTTTGAGATATTGGAGGATAGTATTAGCTCATGTCCTTTAAAACATACTGTCTCATTCTCTTGTTCCTGACAATCTACTCTCAAGTATATTGTCACAGACTTCTCTTTTCCCTGCTAAACGAGCACTAACCACAGAATAGGACATCTTGGCTTTATTTCAACTCAAATAGTCAGTTATGTAAAAATAGCCTAAGAAGTGAAAGTTGGACGTTTTTCAGTGGGAAAGGGAATTCACTTTTTAAAATTTCACTTCGTAAGTTAATGCCTGAAAATAAGTATAATTGTTGCTTTTATTGAATTTAAACTAGAGAATCATTAAAGAAGAGAAACCAAGGGCCATGATCTAACGAACACTGGTAATCAGGTTTCAGAATTGGCTCTGTCCAGGACTTTAGGCAAATGACTTGGTTTTCATTTGCTTTTGTTCCTTTTTTTTTTTTTTTTAAATATATTTATTGATTTTGTACAGAGAGGAAGGGAGAGAGAGATAGAGAGTTAGAAACATCGATGAGAGAGAGTCATCGATCAGCTGCCTCCTGCACACCTCCTACTGGAGATATGCCCGCAACCAAGGTACATTCCCTTGACCGGAATCGAACCCGGGACCCTTCAGTCCCCAAGCCGACGCTCTATCCATTGAGCCAAACCGGTCTTGGCTGCTTTTGTTCCTTATTTATAAAATAGAAATAATGATACATTTCCAGCTCCTTACAGATGGACATGATGATAATGAGGTGATAAGTGGGGAAGAACTTAAATTTAAAAAGTACTGTAAGGTAGGTTAGTATTAGAAATAGTATTTAATGACTTATATAGAAAATTCTTCAACAGTGATGGTATGGCATTCAGCCAATTAAGCAGAGACGGGGTTGAATCGTGTGTGAACGTTTACTGCCCGCCGTATGGGAGAGCAAGTAGGTCATTCATAAAAATCTGCTCTGCAAGCCCCCACAGCCAGCTCCTAATAGAGGGTGGGACCAGGACTACACGGGAAGTGGGGTCCACAGGCATGGGGAAGTAGGAGGCTGGGTGGGACTCCATTGTTTGGGCAATAAGGTTGTTAATCTTGCCATGATCAAAGGCAGTTAGTTCCAGAATGAGAATGGTTCCAAGGTTGACTCCCAGGTCCTGAGGGCAAACAACTCCCAGCCAGGTCAGAATGCCCTTTCTTAAACCAACACAAGGCAATCGTGGTTAACAGAACAAAGTTAATATTTCCCGTAACCATAGCTAGTCCCCATTATTCTGTTTTTCCCCTAACAATTTGAGTTAGAACAAATTTATTGAAAAATAACTGCTTTCAGTTAAATTAGCTTCATAAACTCACGGTAATGCCAAGAAGCCAGGGTGATCGGGAGAGGAAAGAAAGTGAAACTGGACAAGGAATGGGTCCGCCTGCCTATCACTCTACTGGAGCCAGTTAAGCAGAGACAGCGTTGAATCATATGTGAGTGGTTTGTTCCAATACTGACTGCAGTGTGGGGAGAACAGCAGGTCATCCATGAAAATCTGCTCTGCCCTCTCCTTCCCCCCATGAACCAGATGCTTATTTTGGGTAGAAGGATAAAGATTACATGGCGAAGTAGGTAAGAGGAATAAGAATGTATGCAAAAGGAATAAGTGGGTATTAGCAGGCATGGGGAAGGAGGCAAAAGGAATAAGAACGGGTAAAATGGTTACAGATTCCAGGCAATGCCGGAGGTTGCAAGGGCATTGTTTCTCGGCAACAATTAACCTTTCCAAGAGAACAGGCAGTTCTTGGAGAAGGAGAAGGAGAATGGACCGAATTGAAAGGTTGACTCCCAGGGCCCAGCCAGATTAGAATGTGCTTTCTTTAATCAGAACAGAACGATCGCAATTAAGGGAGTGTGATTAATATTTCTTATAACTATAGCTAGTCCCCACTATTCTATTCCTGCCCCTAACAAAAGCATAGGGCTTTGTGTCAGTGTGTTTGAATTGTGACTCCATCACTTACTGGGTGTTTACTTTCTTGATTTATTCATTTGTAAAATGGGTATTTTAATATCTGCTGAAGATTAAATAAGGTAATTTATAAAATGTGCCTATCTCAGTGATTAGGATGTATTACTAGATTTTGAAATAAAGTTATTCACCAGTCTACCACTCCAAACACACTGTTATAACCAACGTCTAATATTTGTTTTCCTCTTTGTCCCCAAGGCTGGAAATCAGTTTATTATTTTGCTTTTTTTTGAAATAGATCTGGGGTAGCATTTCTATTGTAGATTGTGGATTAGAAGTGTGTGGACATCTTATAATGTCCAAGGAAAGTACTAGTAAATGAACAGGAACATGGTGAGTTAATTATAATGTCTGTATTAGGGATAGTCCTATAGTATATACATTAGTCAGATTTTTCTTAGTCCACACATCCCAGGTTTAGGGGGACTATTCCCATTGAGAAGGATGAAAAACAGCTCTGTTGCATAAGATTCATAAATTAGAATTCAACTAGGAGTTCTTTAGTTGGTCTTGCTTAAAATGTATAGTCTGCTGTCACAGGAGGAAAGCAGAGTTACCCTGGGTAGTTAGAGGGTCTTTTGAAAAACAGTTATTGTTCAAAAAGGAAGAGGCATGGAGGAAAATGGTTTTTAATAATTTATTGATTTATCTTCTCTTTTGATATATAAAACAAAGAAAGGAAATTAGAAGGTCCTGTATATGAGGGTTTTTTGTTTTTTTTTTGTTTTTTTTGTTTTTGCTTGGTACAAGTATATTTTCCTTTAATCCACACAATATACCTGTGAGGTAGGTTGGTGACATCCTGATTTACAGAGGGGGAAATTGGGACTTAGAGAGGTGGAGAAACATATCAGGTCACCTGGTAACAAGTGGCAGAGCTGGGATTTAATATTAACTGTTTGCTGCTTGGGTGTGTGAGAGGAGTGGTATTTCTGATGGGTTTTTAAGACTATATATCCAAATTGAAAAAAAAAAGTTAGATATTTACATTTAAAGGTAAACCCTATACATTTTAAATAGGGCCAACTATTTTTAAGATAACTGAGATTCGAACCCACATTAATTTGGTCCAGAGTTTCTGCTGGGCTTTGGGGAATGCAAAGCTGAATAAAATATTATCCACCTGGTTGATCTTTCAGTCTGATGACTGGTTGACATGCAGGCTCACGTGGCACTCTGTTAAAGTTTAGATGGGGTTCCAGGTGAGAGAATGCTTTCATGCCAAGAAAGTTTTTCAAAGGAAAATGCCTTTGAGTGAATCCGATTGGGAAGGACACCTGAGCCTGTAGGGTGGTAGCAAACCTTGCACAAAGGTGGCCACCGGGAGTAAGAGGAGCTAAAACAAGGCTTTCAGTTTAGGATTTTTCTCTGTAGGGGATCAACAGCTATTTTAAAGCAGAAAAGGACGGAAAGATGTAATAATAATAATAATGATAGCATTCTGAAAGAGATGCTAATGGAGGGAGGTCGGTGTTAGGTGTTTTTTTCCTTCTTAAAATCGCCAAGTAATGAAGGGCTCTCTATTGACTTGTAATTTCTTAGTGTAAGTGGCTTTGTTAGTTAACATGATTTTTCCATATGTAAGAAGAATCTTTCCGTTTAAGGATATCTCCCATTAAAAGCCACCTATTCAACTTTCATGTAAAACTTGTAGGAATAAAGAAACATTTAGATAATTAGCTGGAATATTTCCGCTAATTAGATGTAGGGAAAAAGTAATATTGTTTGGATGGGCAGGAATACTATTCAAATAATCTTGAAATAAAGGGGATTTTTTAAAACAAATTTTTTTATTATATAGCAATACATGTTTATCAAAGAAAATTTAAGAAACAAAATAATGCAAAGAAAATAAAAATACCCCTAAACCATAAGCAAAGATAAACTTTTTTGGGGTATATAATATTACAGTCATTAAATACTCAGATTCCAGAGTTCAAGTCAACCAATGGATATATTTGATACCTTGAATTAAGGAAAAAGGTTTTCTGCCTTCACTTATTTTATTGACGGAATTACAATGCACAATTGAGAGTTTGGTTATTATTACATACATTCTGATTTTCATTTAATAACTAAGGTGGCTGCTTTAACTGATTAAAAGTACTAACAAATGGCATGCTTTCAGTGGCTACTACCCCTTTCTTGCCACCAATTCATTCTTAGGAATGGCAAAGGAAGGGGAACCTTAAAAACTATTTGGTTTGCCTTCTTATTTTACAAATGAAAAAACTGTTCTTCTGAGTCTTTGTGGTGGTAACGTACTCCTGTAGCTTTTCTTTTGTTTCTAATGACTTACTAATTTAGCTTTTCTTTTGTTACACTTGTACTTGATTGCAGTCCTCTCTCCTTCCGCTCAGACTGCTTTTCCATCTGTCAGCCAGTGGTACAAGGAAAAGGGACACTGCAGAGAGGAGGTAGCAGGTGCCAGAGAGGTAGAAGGAGCCTGCGTATGTCTGGGTGTAATCGTATAACCAGCCTGGAAGGAAGAATGGTTTCTGTTAGCCAAGCAAACCTTCCCGTAGTCCTTCTCAGCCATGAACTTAACCGGTCTGGATTGTGACCTCTTAGAAAGTCAGTCCAGCTCCTTCCCTGTCTTTTTTTTTTTTTTTTTTTTTTTTAATATATTTTATTGATTTTTGTACAGAGAGGAAGGGAGAGAGAGAGAGAGTTAGAAACATCGATGAGAGAGAATCATCAATCAGCTGCCTCTTGCACACCCCCTACTGGGGATATGCCCGCAACCAAGGCACATGCCCTTGACCGGAATCGAACCTGGGACCCTTCAGTCCCCAAGCCGACGCTCTATCCATTGAGCCAAACCGATCTTGGCTCCTTCCCTGTCTTATTCCTAGTGAGGGAGTTACTTACATCAGTTCCACTTGACTTAGGGACTCAACCCATGGAGACAGTCATTGTGGACCCAGCACTCATCTCCAATCTTAGAATATAACGTATTTTCTATAAGTGCCGTGATGGGAAAATACATAGAGATTTCCAATAATCTTGGGAAGTGTGGTTTAGCACGTTTCAACCTCAGTGTCTTTTAAGACCAGAATTCTCCAAATGATAGAAACTTGCAGTAAGATTTATTGGGTGAGCTTTGGGCATTGGCTCTGTGCTGTGGGTTTTACTAACATGACTGTGGTCTGTGTTAGGATTTTGAAGCTTGAATCCATGGCCTTGCAAAGGAATATATTTGCAAGGGAAGGACTAACCCTCCTCCTCTTTTTAAACCACACTAAAGAGCTATTTGAGATTTTTAAAAAAATGTTTTTGTAGGGAGTCATTCATCCTGGAAATACTGAATCAAAATAAAATTTCTATGGAAATCACTGGATAAAGAGATGATTTACATGGTTTTCCTTTGCCTCTTCAGGTTATAATATATCCCTCAGGATTTCAGGACAGAGAACCTTGCTCTGCTTTCTCACTGTCCCCCACTTATTCCAACCTACAGGGATGTATAGCAGACCGAAAGGTTGAGTTGTTTTGTTTGTTTTTCAAATACAGTTTCAGGCCATGGAGAAATTCCCAACTGATAGGCCAAGATGACTGATAATGTGGAGCGTATGCTTGATAACAGGTGGAGTGAAGACTGGGCGTATTATTTGCTTAATATTGTATCTGAAGTGAGGAAAGAAAGAGACATAGGAAATAACCTATTATTTCATGAGGAGGTGAACTTATCTGTGTTAGTGGGGCAGAGGCAAACTTTGGTGAATTTTCATCTAGCCACTGTCTTTTCTTATAAAACACAGATGAAGAGTTAGTGCAGAATTACCAGTTTCACTCCATGGTGTTTTTGATAATAGTACGAGAGAGATGTACTTCTCCTTTAGGAGCTAGTTAATTTGAACTTGTGCTGGCGTACAATCAACTTATAATTATTTGGTCTTAGAAATAATTTCTCGAGTTTGTTGAAAAGAACACAACAAACACTTTTGTGAAGTACCCGCTGGATTGAGTGACGGCCATTCTTTCTATACCACAGCTCAGGAAGTCTTCATTTAAAGGTAGCAAAATGGAGACATGGCTTAACCTAAGTTATGTTAATGAAATGGAAGAAGAATGCACATTCTATTAAATACTCAGTGTTAGAGGTTCCAGATTGCTGGTTTTATTTTTATTTAAAAATTTTTTTAAAATATATTTTTATTGATTTCAGAGAGGAAGGAAGAGAGAGAGAAAGAGAGAGAGAGAGAAACATCAATGATGAGAGAGAATCACCAATCAGCTGCCTCCTGCATGTCCCCTACTGGGGATCGAGCCCACAACCCGGGCATGTGCCCCGACCGGAATGGAGCCCGGGCCCTTCAGTACCCAGGCTGACGCTCTATCCACTGAGCCACATGAGCCAGGGCAGAATTGCTGGTCTTAGCATTGGGTCCTGTCCATGTATGTGCCATTACTTAGTGAACAGTGGAGGAGCGTTAAGAGAAGATTATCTTCTCTGTATCCCACGGAACAACTAGCAGAGAGCTGTGCTAATAAGGGGCTTGGTAATTAATTGGATGAATACTGAGCTATCAAATAATTGTTTCTGGTATTTTAAGGGAGTTTTCAGAAGATAATTGGGATTTATGTAAATATATATTATATTCATCAGTTGGGAATGAGGGGTATATGGAAGAGAGGGAAACTATATTCAGTTCTGTTTTATAGGCAGCCAATATGGGCCTTTGGTTTTATTTTTACATGAAACTGAGCCTTTAACATTTTGAGCTCACACATCAAATGCCTTTGGATAGATTAGGAATTTCACATAAGCAGCTTACATTTGGTGTATTGGAGAATATGACTATATACTTGATTTTTTTTTTGCCCAAGGCACTATTTTTGTTTTTATATTGCTGTCTAAAGGCCTACTTTTGTTAACAGGGTATACTAGAAATAAAATAATGCTTTAAAATAGCAATGCTTTTTGTTTTCTCACAACTTTTCAAGACTTCCATCTTGGTGCCAGCATGTAGATCTGGATGCAGCTTCCAGCAGTTGGGTTTGGATAAGTCAGGACATTGGCCTATACGTAGGTCTGCTGATCATCCTAGGTCAGAACACCCCCTAAAGCTGGCCTAGTCTGAAGCAGGCCACATAATTAGCTATGAATTTGTCACTAAGTATTGGAAAGGAACGGGAGGGGCGGGCTGGGGGGTGCAGTGGGCAGGGGGTGAGTTAGAGAGTAATTTTAAACTTCTTTCTTTTCGGTCCCTATTGATAGAAGAATCTTGTTGCTACTATATTATCATAATCATGGTTTTAAAGGTGTATAAATAATCTTTTTGCCAAATGCTCTATTTACATTTTTAAAAGAAAAAAGTGTGTTTTTAAGAAACTCAGGTATGATTCTTAAGGGTTTTCTTTCTGTGTTTTATTAAACTATGCCGTATATGACTAACTTGCTTTTCTTTTTCATTTCCACACAGGAAAGAGAAAATATTGTTCAGATAACCGATGTAACCATTATTAACTAGTGTTTGAGGATTCTGTGGGAAGTTTTACTGTTTGCTAGAGTCCTGATTTAAAATGCCTGTATTTTTTTATAGGAATTTCAACTTTTGCGATTTGGTAATAACAGATCTAACAGGTAAGTAAAAAAAAAAATGAGAATCTCATGCAATTTGAAGATCTAAGTTTGGTTGAGAATTTAATAATTTGTAGCCAGAAAGCCTGTTGATTTATTTAAAGCTAAAGACAGTAATGGAACTGCCCAGTCCTGTTGAGAACTGAGTGAATCTTTAAGGCAGCATTTCTGATGTTTCTTTGGTAGTTGCTGTTGAAGTCAGAATCTAGGAACAAACCTAATGGCCTTTCTCAAGTCCTCTGTCACCTCCCAGAGGAAAGACTTGCTGAGGTTTCTCCCTCCCATGGAGCACGCAGTGCAGTGTCGCAGTCAGGGAGAGATGCTTTTATAGAGAAGGACATTTAACCATTTCTATATCAATTATCATCATCTTGTTATAAGGTACTGCGAGCCACTCTCAGACCAGAAAATCTATACATAAGCTTTCAGCAGCAGCCTTAGCACTTTCTTTGACTTTTTTTTTTTTTAAACTTATAAAATTTATAGTTGCCTAAATAACATGCTGAGAATTGGCAGATAAAAAAAAGCTTCCTTTCTCTTCATAGCTGGGGCATTGTGGACTTTGGGTAATATAAAAGGCTCAAAATTAATTAACTTATTTATTCACAGATAGCAAGAAATGTACTTTACATCACATATACGTACAACATATACGTAAAATAAAATTTTCACAATAAAGAAGTGCACTGTTTTCTAATCTGCTCTGTTGTAGTCTGTCCTTTTTCATTCAAAGATAAATGAAAAGATCATGACCCAAGGCATTTCAAGACCCACACACATCGGCAGCCTTTCCTTTCCAGGTAGTGGTCCTCACAAGACATACCTCGTCTTCTCATATACGGACCTCTTTGAATATTTTATTTCAAAATGTGTACAAAAACTGGAATGTAAAACCTCTAAACATGTTGTAGTTCAGCTACTTGCCTTTCCCAGTTGCATGAGATGCTCTGTGCGCTGGAATTGGTTACTGCCCTGTGCTTTCGGCCTGCTAGGCTGAGAGTTCCAGGCCTCATTGGACCCAGAGAAGAGGGATCAGGATGGAAAGAAATGCATGAGCAAACTGTGCTTGGGCTGTTTTCCGTGCCTCACGGACCTGGGTGCCGGCCATACAGTAGTTCTGCCAGGTGTCTCTGGTGTGTGGTTTTTCTTGCTAGTCCCTAGAGAACAGTTCTGGCTTGACTCATATCCTAGCCTGCTCTCCAGGTATGAAGTATAGACTGAGCTGGAAAACATGGGACGATGTGTGTTCATACGTGCAAATAAGGACTTGGTTGTATATTTGTATCGATTTTAAGAACGATAGTGGGCAAGATAGTTCCTTTTTCTGTCTCACTTCAGGACTAAAGGAGGCAAAAGTAAGTTTTCAATTGAATTCCTTTTTGTGGTATTTGGAAATGCTGTAGCAATGTCTACATTCCAATATATTGAGAACTATAGTTTGGAAAATACTCTTGTCTGTTCCCTATAAGTAGTTAGTCTTGGTTTAAATGTCCTGTTAGGTAGAAAACGAGTAAAAATAAACAACACACTTCAGTCTTAAAGCTATCTTACATGATCAGACCTCCCCCAGATTTTACTCTACCTGTGTTTAATGTTCACCAGCGGTCTCACAAAGCCCCTCCACAGAGACTGTGGCTGTTAGGCCTCGTATCCTCCCACCTTTGGTACAGACCCAAAGTGAAGGGCCTCCATCCCTCTTTGACCATCAGAGATGCTGAGCCCTCACCAGTTTGGCTCAGTGGATAGAGCTCAGTGGAGTCTGAAGGGTCTGGGGTTCAATTCCAGTCAAGGGCACATGCCTGGGTTGTGAATTGTGCAGGAGGCAGCCAATCAGTGATTCTCTCTCATTGATGTTTCTATCTCCTCCCTTCCTCTCTGAAATAAAATACATATTTTTTAAAAAGATGTTGAGAAGAGCAAAAGGGTCAGGCTTGCAGTTTCAAGCTCTATAGAAGTGACTTCTGTTTAGGTAAAAGTGGTAGTGATTCTTTTTCTTTTAAGCATCATAGGTCTTTGAAAATTTGATAAAACTGTATTGTTTTTCCAAATAAGTAGACATGCCTACAGTCTCTGCTCTAAGACGCCCAAGAGGCTGTAAGAACCTGCTTAATGCACATCTGCTGGGTTAACCCCTCACATTCTGACTGGCGATGGGGTGTGAAGGTTGGTATGGGAACAGCACAGATACCAGTTTCTTTTAGCCTGATGTCTTCATTACATGTTTCTGTTAATCACGGGTCGACATTTTCTTCCATTTGCTTAGAATATGGCTAAACTTACCTGCTATTGGTGGTCCAGAAAGGACAGCTATCCCGACGAAGAAATTGGCAAGTCCCATGAACCTGTGCACTGCAGAACTCCCAGACAGGTCAACCTGTAGGGATTAGAATTATTTGTTCGCCAGATGGAGCGTGAGATTCTGTGGAGACCCGCGCCTACCAGGGGACACACACTGTTGGTCAGCTCAAACTGAACTGTTGGCTTTGGGGTGACGTGGGTGGCCTTGTGCTCCGAATTGTGCAAGAGCTGAGGCAAATAGGACAGAAGTCTCGCTAGGCAGGTGGCATTCCCTGTATGAGTAAGGAACATTGGTTTTTGTTTCTTAAGTCTTTCTGGTGGCTCAGGGGTACCTTTTCCCCTGAACCTCACGGCTCTTCTCTGTTCGGAAACGATATTTACAATCTAGCTGACATTGGGACTCTTGAATCCACCTGAGGCTGAGTACCAGCTATTGGTTTGTAAGCAATTAGATGTTATGAGGAGTTGATTCAATTTGAGAAAGTTTGGCTTTTGCCTAAGCCTCGTGTATGTCCTGCAGCACTGGAGCTAACACGGCCGTGGGGCCAGAACTCGCCCAGGGATTGTGTTCTGGCACCTCGGGGACTTGGTGCCAAGGAGAACCCTGAAGTTTGTATGTCATGTCCACTTGGTTCCAGGACTTGAAGTCGATTGGAGGTAAAAATGAAGAAGAGAGTTGTGTTTTAAATGCCCCTGTTGAAATACAGAGCTGCTCTCAGCAAGCGAGAAGCCACACTGTCAGGAAAGCCCTTTTCTCTCAGGAACTCTTCAGGGTTGTATCTTAGGAGGGAGCCAAGGAAGTTTCCAGAGCTGAAGGAAAGAAGTAAACAGAAGCCTGACCTGGGAAACTGGTCAGCAAAATAGAATCCTGTTGGCCCCTTATTGATTTCCATTCCGCTTGTTCCCTGTGGACAGTTCTCCCATCATTCCAACCCCGAGGTAAGATGAGTAACTGGATTAGGATATAGCTACAGGGTTCCTTAGGCCTTGGCTGTGTGTGATGTTTTATAATTATAAAATTAATACAAAACATGTATTCTCTTTGGGCAAGATTATTATTCATCTTTGCTTTTACTAAATGGTTTAACAATGTTAATGAGTGTGTCTACTCACCAGAACAGGAAGTATCAATGCCAGGTAACCACCGGAGAAAATGGCAGACATGACGGTATAGGCCATCAGCAGTGGGAAGGTGGTGGCTAAGGGAGCCAGCAGGTTAGTAATGCCGCAGAGGGCGAGGTAAGACTTGTGGTAATGGTGCTTGCTGGTCCAGTTTTGATCAGCAATCCATCCAGAGAGAATCTGACTGACTACCTCAGTGATACCTAGAAGAAATTTGAAAGGTCTTATGAAATCCTAATTCCATTTTCCCCAGCCCCTTTGAAGAATGTAAATGCCTAAGGCATCTTTTCCTAGCTAATATGACTTCATCCTTAGGCTAGGACACATTTGCCTACCAGTAGATTATATGATTTACTGAGGTACTCCAGACACAGCTGATAAGTTATCAGAAAGTTCATACCACTGAGCTGGGAGGCTCTGGTTACTGAGGCCCCGGGCTCAGGGACCCTCAGGAAGGAAGTGTGGGCTTGTAAAGACTAGTGGGCCTTCCGGGTTTGTGTCCTGGGGAAGTCAGAGGGGGGATGATGAGTGTAAATAATAAAGCCTTGTGTTTATAAAAAGAAAAAGGAGGTATTGGGAGTCTTATAAGTATATGAGGATTTGAAAATGAAGTCCTCCAAAAGTTGTTATTCTTAACTTGAAAACAGGTAGGAAGTCTGGAAATGGGAGGTCAGATTTTGAACACTGGAGTTAAGATGTAACTTGAACAAAATGTAAGAACCGCAATTTTGCTCAATTTCATAACAAAAATCCTTAACCTTTATCGTATTAGAAGCTAATGTAGCGGTTAAATACCAAGAGATTTTCCCCAAGAGTAGCATGAGCTGTGTGGTGTTTTTATGCTTCATATCCTTCCTACAGTTCAAACAGAAATTGCTACACACACACACACACACACACACACACACACACACACACACACAAAGGAAGTAAAAATACAGAATACTACCATTTCTGTATTTATAGTTATTTCCTAGGATACATACTGAGTTTATGTTACATTCTTTTGTTCCTTTATATAGCCCTAATCTGATCTAAATTAATACTACTAGACATTTTAGTGAGAACATCTGTTGAGCTAGTATCTTTTGTGTATGTGTGTGTATACCTTTTATTTGACTGCGAGTACCTTTGCAGTTGGAGGCAGAGTGCAGTCAGTTTTGTAAGGCTTGGTAAATAGTCTTGCAAGAGGAAAGTCACTTGGAGCTACTGAGACTTTCCAGATAACTAGAGCTAACCAGTTCCATTTCATCCCTTCTCACTTAAAAAAATAAAAATAAAAAATCAGTCAATCCATTGGTGACTAGCCTCAATAGGCATATATATGTCTTAAGTATGAGTTCAAGTGGAAAATGCTTAGCTACAAATATTAGTAGAACATGATTGGATGCTTACAATGGGCTAAGCATAATCCTAAACCTCTCATACATTACATTTCTATTCATAACCTTATCAGGGTAGGTAGGTACTATTATCCCTATATTACAGATGAGGACATTGAGGCACAGAGAAAGCACATACCTTGCCCAAGGTCATACAGCTTGGAAATAGAGAGCAAAAACTTGAACCTGGGAAGTCTAGCTCCAGAATCAAACCTTTCAGTCAGTGCACTATGCTAACTACCTGGGATTTGTTTTGCTCCTCCGCTGGTGGTTGCCACTAAGCACCAGCTTTTAAAAATACTGTCTTTTCCAACAAATGCCAAATGTCTCCTGTGTCAGACACCTATGAAAAACTAACAAGACCTTTTTGTTTGCGTGTCTGAGTGTGAGGTGGCAGTTGGCTTTCTTACCAGCTGCAGACACGAGGTAGGAGGCGTCCATCATGTTGATCCCTAGTGTTTTGGCTCTGGCCACCAGGTGGAAGGCAGAGACCATATATGCCAGCTGACTGAAGAGAAGAGACCAGGTAAAGATGCAGAAGAAAGGGTTCTTTAAGAGAGAAAGATCACAGAGGTTTTGTTTACAGCTCCACAAAGCAGCCTTCTGCTGGAAACGTCTGTTTTTAGGTGTTAGGAACAGTCTGTTCCCGCTCGGCCCGTTGTTGACCTCTTCCTTTTGGTGCTGCTGCGAGTCTATGAGACTTACACCGGCTTGTCCAACCGTCTGCATGGTCCTGTCCCTGGTGGGGAACTCTGGTGTCTCGCAGTGTGACGTGTCTGTCCCGCGCCCTGCCTCTGGACCACTGGCAGACAGGCTGCTCCCTTTATCTTTCCTGTCAGAATTGCTCCCGCTTGTGCTGTGGATGGCTCTCAAGAGCATACTCGAAGGCACCAAGTTCAGGATGATCGCTCCAAATAACATAAGGGCACCTACACAGAGAGAAATCACCAAGTTGTTAAAAATCACCCCTCTCATTTCACAGTGCTCGGTTCTCAGGCTCAGAACATTCACAGTGTTGCTAAATACTCATAGCGAGATAATTCCTTGAGATACTGCGTTGTCTCCTGATTTTAACGAAGTATTAGAATCTGGTGACTTCACCGTGTGAGCCATACACTCGGCTGTATCTTGTGAAACGGTGGCCTTTTGCAGATTGGATGCCTGAAAGCCGGAACAGAAGGGGGCTTATTTGTGCCAGAGGAAACGAGAACAGGGTTTCCTTGGAGTAGCTGGGGAGCTGTTTCACATGTTAGAACATCACATGGATTTTGAAGAGGGACGTGAAATGTTCCGAGGTGGGTATACATTTTGAAAGAAGGCAGGTGCCAGTTTTGCCTCTGAAGCTGAGCAGGTAGGTCTTAGTTTTTGTGTGACCTGACTAAGCTCGGGTGTGTTGCTCTGAGAGACAGGGCTGGCTGCAGGTCCTGCCCTTCTGTCCTGGATTTGTCACCTGAGACCCCTGCACAACTGCTCTGTGAATTTGTGTCTTTCTGTAGAAGTGGACATATACATGCCTATGTGTATATCATGTTTCCAGAAATGTAAGATGATTTAATCCAGATATTTACTGTAAGGCACAAAGAAAATGGTAAAGTGAATGATTTTCATTCATTTGTGTAAAAGATTAAGTATTAAGGAACATAATCTTCTTGTTTTTTTTCTTTTGGTTCTGGGTTAGTGAGTCTAACGGAGGAGGCATGTTTTAATGCAGATTTTTCCTTAAAGGGAGAATTTGGGAAGAATGCTTTGGTGGGGCAGGAGGGGTGCCCTTGTCTCCTGAGCAATGCTGCGGGGTGTCTCACAGCCCAGAGGCGCTCTGTGCCCCAGACAGGAGGACCCTGGGCTGGACTCGGAGCTGCTGGTGTGGCTGGCAGAGCCTGCAAGTAGTTCAAAACCTTGCTGCTGTGTATTCCCCAAGGAGGAGCGTGATTCTTTAGAAATCATTTCTGCTCTGGCCCCATACATCTTCCCTCCAGTCCTCCAGGGGAAAAGCTGAACTTGAAGTCTTGCGGAGTTGATAGGTGTGTCTGCACTTAGAATGACTCACCTGACCAGTCATAGAGATCTATCAGGACTTTTGCAAAAGGTGCCAGGAGAAATGTCAGTCCCATCCCTGAACGGGCAATAGCTGTAGAAAGCGCCAGTCGTTTTTTGAAGTATTTGCTCATTACTACCATCGCTCCTTGGTACAAGAAGGCGGAACCCAAACCTAAAAAGAAAACCATAGGAGGTTGGAATCGCTTACATGAGGTGCCTGTACCAGACCAGATACTCTCCTGGACCGAGATAATGAAACTGGGCCTTTGGACATGTGGTCCGTAAGAGGAAGGCTCCCGTTTTTCTAACCTTTTCACAGCGGACTCACCAGGTAGAACTCCCATGGTCACACACAGAAAGGGGATGCTCGTGGCCCAGCTGCTGATCACATATCCTCCAGACACGAGGAAGGCCCCAAGCAGGGAGGCAGTCTTCTCTCCCCATATGTCACAGGCGATGGCAACCAGGGGGCCTTGGGGAGAGAAAAGCTGGTTCTAGGTGAGTGCTCAGCGTCCCTGATCCAGGCGTCAGCTAAAATGAGCGGCTTTAGGAAAACACTTGGGAGTGTGGTGTGTCCTTCACAAAGGTGCCTGTGCTGGGTTTTATAGACCCCGTCCACACTACTTGCTTTGTTTTTTAAGGAAAAAATTCTAAATGAGCAGGCTTGGAGGTGAAGCTTACTGAAAAAGCGTTGCAAAACCTCCACACAGTCAGAGTGCTGCTGGTGGCCTATGACTAGAGCAAGTTTGCTCCTTAACCTCTGCACCACGCTAGGCTCCAAACAGAACTGCAGGAAGAGGAATTGGTTCCCAGTGTGTTCTGCGAATGTTTAGTGATCAGGTCAGAACTCCGAGGTCTGACTTCCCAGCTGACGGGGGCTCACTGAACCTAGGGAAAGGCACTGTGGAAAGAAACACGCATGAGGAACCGTGCAGTTCAGTAGTTGGACTCCCACTTTCTTTGTTTGAACTGGATTTTTCCAGTTTTACCGACTCAGGTGGAGGCTGCACACCGCAGGTTTTTCCTTTTCTCGGCTGCCCATATTAGTAAGCGACTGAGGGTAGCAGCTTCGTGCTGTCCTAGAACTGCCCTCTGGCCTTTTCCTTGGACAGCAGCGAGCTCATCCCTGGGCTTCCTACCTGCAGAATAGCTGAGGGATGACATGATGGAGCCAATCCAGCCAGTTTGCTCTGAGGTGCCTTCAAATTCTTCTTGAAAAACCACAAAGAAAATTGCAAAAGTCTTGGTCATTCCTATCACAAACATGTTGACCTAAATGAAAGCAGACAGAGTCCAAGTCAGGGTGCAACAGAGGGGTTCCCCAGCTCGCCAGCACTCACCGTTCATATGTTCTGTGTTTTACGCGTGGCCGTCCCCAAATAGCTGCTCTAAGCACTTGACATGAGTGTCCCTTGAATCATCAGGGCTGGGGAGTAGGTGTCACGATTGTACTAGTGATCAGGAGATGGAGGCTTAAAGAAGTTGCTGAAGGTGGGGATGCTGGGGCTGAGATTTGAACCCAGATCAATCCCTACTCGACTGTTCTACGACATTAGCATCTGTTAAGCACAGCCGAGTCGATACCTTTGTGAGAGAACGTTGTTGCTCCAAAAGATGAATCGTTCCTATCAGTTCCTGGGCTAGCTTTGCTTTAACTCTGCTCTTGAGCTGAGCACTATTCACCACCTGATACATAAGTAGGGTGGCTATATAGTAATTTGTCCAAATCGTAACACTTTTTAGGGCAAAAGGGAGCACTGTTAATTGTGCCAGGACATGGTTGGGTCACATAGCCACTAGGAGGCACTCTCCTTTGAGGTCAGGTTTTTCTGTGGAGTGCTACCGTGTTTCCCCGAAAATAAGACATCCTCCAAAAATAAGACCTACTTACAGGTTTCCTTCTGAGTGAAATATAAGGCATCCCCCCAAAATAAGCCCCCCCCAGGCTAAACATGAGAGATTTGGTCTATTGATTCTGAAAGAAATGGAGTCACAAGAAATTCACCAGGAAATTCAGAAATTGGATTATGATGATATTCCAGAAGATGATGACATGATTGTCATTGAATAAATGAGTAAATTCTCGATACTGTAGGATTCACAGTTTGTCTGGTTTGTGTTGACAACTATCGTACTACCGTACCATATACAGGTAATAAATTTCCTTTATTTTCATTTAACAATAGATGTGTACCGTATTCTTCATGGAAAAATAAGACATCCTCTGAAAATAAGACCTAGCGCATCTTTGGGAGCAAAAATTAATATAAGACACTGTCTTATTTTCGGGGAAACGATAGTATATACTAGTATGCCCATAGACGGTCACTCTCCCAGTTTTAGTTGCCACCCACGAACTCATGGTGCAGTAGTTAAGTACCTGTCTGCACAGTCGGCCTCCTTGGCCTGAGTCCTGGCTCAGCTTCCTACTAGGGCTGTGAGCTTGGGCAAACTTTCTGAAATAAGAATCCAGCGGGGGGTGGAGTTCAGCTTCATACATTTTATATTTCACAGAAGTTAAGCTTCCTGTTTTGTAAAGTGGAGATGAAGTCAGTGTTAGCTAGCTCACAGGTCAGTGAAGATTGAGAACGTTCTGGTAAAAAAAACTTAATACAGATGTTTCTCAACTTGTCCTGGGGTTACACCTCGATAAACCTATCATGAGTTGAAAATATTCTGAGTTGAAAATGCATTTAATACAACTACTGAACATTATAGCCTACCACAAAGATGCTCAGAACACTTAAAATAAATAGCCTTCAGTTGGGCAGAATCATCCAACAGATGATTTTACAATAAAGCATTGAATATCTCATGTAATTTATCAATTTTGCACCATTGAAAAGTTGAACAATTGTTAAGTCAAACCATCAATTCAGGGACCATTAAGTAGCATTTAATACTCAAATTATTAACTGATTTTATTATCTTTAACCATTAATATTTTTCAAGAGTTTGGAACTAGTTTATATAACTGTCTACCATGTCTAACTCATGCCAACTCATCTAAAATGCAAGTCTTTCCCTTGTCCCATGCCCACTTTTCCTTCTCATTTCCCTTTTATTGCTACCCTGAGCCTGCCTCCTCGTTCCCTTAACCCCCACCTGCTGGAGAATCAAGCTAGACTTGTATTTCAGAAATAGTGTTCTCTGCTGTTAGAGAAAGGGACTAAACCAGTGGTGGTGCTCAGAGGTTGCAAAAGTTGGGGGTGGTGAGGAGGTCCCTTAATAGGTTTTTCCCATTTTGACTTGATAGAAGCTACTGATTTTTCATCATTTACATGAACAATGCTGTGGGCGCCAGGGCTCTGTGTTTTACCGTGAAAACTATCTTATCAGGCCCTCATTGGGACACTGCCATCAGAATGTACCCAGAGGTGTTTCTATCAGGAAGTGGGGCTACAGGACATGCAAGAACCTCCAACGATCCAGACTTGTTTCCGTTGGTCCAACATATAGAGCGGTGACTGCGCCCTGTGGTGAGCAAGGACATCGGGAAGCATCGTTCTGGAAAACATCCTTCCTCCTAAACCATGCTTTCTGTGCTGGCATCTAAAGGACGCTGGCCTCTGTCTCCTGAATTGGGCTAGCTACTGGTCTCCCAGTTCGGAACCTGGCCTCTGGTCCGTCTTCGACGTCTGGGAAAAGCCGCAGTGAGTAGCCATGCCTTGTATCTAATCACCGAGTCTGCGTCTTCCCCTGTGGATATCAACAAGGCCAAGGCCAGCCTTTGCGTCTACCGTGCCTCCCTCCCTTAACTCGTAACCTTCCAACTTTGTCTCTGTTCTTCCTCTCCTCTCCCAGAGAATGTTTGTTTAAGCTGGGAACAGTGAAACAAGGACAGGTCGAGGATAGAAGAAGCAACAGAGGAGAGATTAGGTGGGGAAATGGGCCTAGCTGGGCTGCTTTGGCTCACTAAGGAGTCGGAGAAAGGGGGGCTTGTGGACAAGTTCAGAGGGTTTGCCCGGGACAAGCTACCGCTGCCCATTGCTCGCCGGGCGAGTCCCGTGGGGCCCTTTAGGGTTTAGGAGGTTGCAGGCCTGTGGGGGAAGACGGGAAGGGAATGGTGAGGATGTGCTCTCTGGAGGGAGAGCACGCCTGCTTTTCTTTCCCCAAGCTGGGTTTCTGCTTCGGTGAGTGGACTAGACAAATCTGGGTTCCACCCCATGCTTTGGACCAAGGTGGCTGGGTTTTAGTCCTGAGTCCACATGGAAAAGCTAAACAGTCATTAAGTCAAACATTGTCAGTGGGCTCACCCCAAAACAGAAGCCTTTGAAATTTTCCCGAGGCTGACCCAGCACCGACATTTCCTTTTTATCTTTAAGGGCATGCCCCTACCCCATAAGAACTTCCTCATCTAGATCCTTTTAATTACAATATTGTCTTGGGGTTGGTTAAGCCACTGTGGCCCCTTTGAGTGAAGAGCATCCGGCTTTGTTAGAAATTACTGTTCAATAGCAAGTTTCCTCTCCCTTAGGTACCCCTCTCGCACCCCCTTGCTCTTTCTGACCTTCGCAGACCAAAGAAAGGAGAGTCTGTTGGGTTATCTGCACTTCCTGTCTCAGCACCCACCGTACAGGCTCTTATCGAGGTCATCACACACTTCCCTGTTACTGCCCCAGCAGCCTGTTGTCATTTCTGTGGCATCTGACTTCTCAGCAACTTCTGCTCCTCACTTGCTCCTGGACGTGTCTGCTTCACTTAGGGCCGCTGCCCCAGGAAGGGCTCTCAGACCTCAGCGTGATTTCTAGTAACGCAGAGCCCACGTTCTGTGGCAACGAGGCCCATGTGTCACCAGTGGTTGTCTGTTGGGGAGTTTGTGTTACACAAGTCCTAGCTGGGACCTCTGCTCCTACTTCCCCTTCTCTCCCACTGGGCAGGAGGCCGGAGGCCTGAGCTGTCGGGCTGTGGGAGGAAGGAGGGTTGGGAGGGAAGGGGTGTCTGTGAGTAAAGTGATCTGGGGACACGAGCAGCTGTGGAGCTAGTGCCATCTGCAGGGGTGTTTGGGTCTTAGCTGTGAGAGGATGCTCGGTATTTTAGAATGGCTGTGCTGGCACTCAGATCAGGGTGAGGGAGAGAGAAGATCATTAAGAAACAAGTGTCCCAGACCAGCTGCTTATGGATGAAGAAGAAAAAACGGGCTCCAGGTTCAGAATCTGTGTCCCCCCCCTCTCCAGACAGAAATACACACAGGCCTGATTCTAGCTCACATGTGGATGGTGGGAAGGGCTGGAAGTCGGCAGCTGGCAGGGGAGGAAATGTCCCCGCCCCCTGTCAGTGATGGAGGTCGCTGCCGACAGTTATGTCTACGCTGGGCTGAGTGCGGATCCCGCCCAAAAACGCTTTGGCCCTTGCCAGTGCTACTTCCGGGGGGTTAATTGTGTGATTGTCCCCAAAACTAACTGTCATGCAGCCAGGGCAAGACTGTTGATGGTGACTGGAGCGTTCTGTGGTGCAGGGACGGGAGGGAGGAGGAGAGGCCAGATAGAATGCTTTTGCTTTTGCTCAAGGTGGACTGCTTCAGCCTGGGCCCATTGTGGGCCTCTGACTTGAGCAACCACTGGCAGTTTCTGGCCCGGCTCTGCGCCCTTTCCATTCAGATGCCAAGGGTTTCATAAAGGACCTTCGGCCTCCAGAGGCAGCCCTTCAGGCGGGAGGAGGGAAAGGAAATCCTTACCAGGAAGAAGTGAAGCACAATCATCCATCCCCAGCCTCCATCCGGGGCCTGGGTGTACGGTGAGGCCTTCCCCGCCCTCCGCATGGCGCCGGTCCCTGGGACAAACCCAAGACATCGTTTATTCCACTGACAGGAAACATCTAAACTTTTAAACTTAACTTCTCTCTGCGGAGTAAACCACTTGTACATGTTTTCTAGCCCAACTCTTTAAACACAGATGATTTCCTTTTGTTTCTAAAGCTGTTCATAGACCTGTTTTCACCTCCAAAACGCAAGCAGGACTTTGTACAATTTGGGACTGGCCTGCCGGCTGCTTCCTGGCTGCCGCCGGCCGCTCACAGGGCTTCAGAGCCCCTGAAGCATGTCCTCCACGTGTGAAGGCTGCCTGACCTGAATGCCCTGGTCCCTGTTTTTTCTATAGTCTCGATCCAGGCAGAATCATGGGAGAAGGAAGAAAGCTAGTGATATGCTGTGATTTGAGGGATTTTGAAGCCACTGCAGAGAGATGTCTTGTCACCAGTCTGAATGGCACTGAGGTGACCACTCGGTTTATTTCAGGCAGGAATTTCGAAGGAGTTCACTGCAAAGCTCAACCTTACTGGTTGGGGTGGCGGCTCCTAGCACTGTCCTCGGTGTCTCCCCCCCAGTCTGCACCCCAGATCCTGGGGGAGCTGTGCGCAGCCCTCTGGTCCCCTGGGTGAGCTTTCGACTTGAGAGGAATTTTTAAAAAGGGCGGGTTGCTGTGGGCTAGGAATCCCGTTTACAAAGCCCTCACTAAAATGAGACTATTCTAAGGGGCTAATCAGGGTGGGGAGCCTTTTTAAAACCGCTGAGCCATTGGGATATAACATCATTCGTAGGTCGTATAAAAATACCAGCTTAAAAATGAGCCTGCTGTATTTGGTAAAACCCACCCCTGATGCCCTGGCAGGACCTGGTGCCCCTCACCCCTGGCTAAGGAGACGTGACAACGAAATGCAGTGACTGTTCCTTGAGGGGACCTGGGCCAGGAACAGGGAAGAGCTGTGGAGTCAGCTGGAGGAGTGGGAATGTGGGCTGTGAGCACAGCCACGCCTTGTGGTGTGATGGTCTTGTGGTTCTGCAGGAGAGCATGCTGCATGGCATCAGGAGTGAGGTGTCCTAACTGCTACTTCCTCCCAAATGGTAGAAGACAGCTGAAGCCAGTTTGGCTCAGTGGTAGAGCATCGGTCTGCGGACTGAAAGGTCCCAGGTTCGATTCCGGTCAAGGGCATGTACGTTGGTTGCGGGCACATCCCCGGTAGGGGGTGTGCAAGAGGCAGCTGGCCGATGTTTCTCTCTCATTGACGTTTCTGGCTCTCTATCTCTCTCCCTTCCTCTCTGTAAAAATCAATAAAATACAATATATTTTTTAAAAAATGGTAGCAGACAAATAGCAAGGACAAGAATGGAGGTGTCCTGGAAGGGATCCGGCATGCTTCACTTCCCACTGTCCGGTCAGCAGGCAGACCGTTTCTTACTGGGACGGGCATGCGCAGTGGCCGTGTGGTGAGCAGCTGGGCTGGGAGAGAAGCCCTGGGTCATTCAGAACATTATAGGAAACCAACCCCAATGCACAATCCTATTCTCGTCTTACCTTGGACGTGGCGTGCAGCAAAGGAATCCTCCACAGGTGACACTCCGGGAAGAGAAACAAAGTCGTTCTCTGGAATGTTACTCCAAGGAGTTGGTCATGTTGTGCTGTGAGAACAAGTGAGCTTGTGAGAGAGGACTGCAGGCCGATGTGGGCCCCGGGCCAGTGGACTTCACCCTCCTGAGGAGCGGAGGCGGACTGTGGTTTGACACCCCCCTCCTGGCTCTGAAGGTAGTTTCACCGTAGGCGCAGCAGCAAGCATCGGGGTGAACCAAGTAGAAAATCCTCTTGGCCACGGACACGGAATTAGTTCAAACAAGGTCAGTGCGGAGGTAGTTGTACTGCTGCAGTGGCTGCGTAAGCAAACCCACGTCCGGGCCTGCAGACGCCTCGGGGTGAAGAGATGAAAACCCAAGGCCAGCCACCACCACAGCCCATCAGGCCTTCCGTGATAGTCGTTCCCCTGCTTTGCTTTTGCCTTTTCTCTACTAGCCTCTCCCCCAGCTGCTGGTGGAGCACTCCTGCCTACTTCGGGTTCGGTGCTGCCTGATTCAAATGGATTTTTGCTCAAATTCGGTTTTAATATGCCTCAGCTTCCCGTTTAACGCCATGCTCAAGGCAGAGAAAGACCTCAGGGCTCGGAGAGCCATGCCCCTGCCGTTCCTTCCGGGGTCCTCGGAGGATACCCCCTCTCCCAGGGTTGGGAGGTCCATTTCCTGGGCTACAGACCACAATGCTCCGCAAGTGCAGCACATACGTGTGACCTTACATGTACTGACTGAATCTGGGCAGTAACATGGGGTTCCAGATGCCATTTTAATGGCTGTTTTTCATACTTGATTACCTTACCACCACCTTCCAAAGAAGGTGTATACTTGAATTTTAATGAAATGTTTTTCTTCTTGCATTTTGGAAATGGTTAAGGCTGAATCTCCTAGAAAATTAGGGTGATCCATCTTTCTTATTCCATTTCCTTTCTGTGCTACCCTCCACCTCAAACAAAAACAAAAAACAACACCCAGTCAACAGGAAGTGGCCTTTCATCTCCCCAACATCCCAGGTTTCAAACCAGAATGTATGTTAGGCCAATGTGTGTTTTTCTTGTTTTAGCTGGAAAATCTGAACATTTTTATTCACGTTCCTTTTTAAAAAGGAAGTGGCTTCTCAGGCTCTTAAAAACCAAACTAACACTTTGAGATGAACGTGTACAGGATCCCAGTGAAGTGGTTTGGGAAACGCCTCATGAGGAGCGCTAGGATAATAGTTACGTGTTGCTGGTGCTAGGGGCCGAACAGACCTCCAGCAGAGGGCAACCCCTCAGAGAGAAGGAGAGTCCTAATCAGTGTTTGTCCTTATAAACACCCGGAAAGCGTTGTCTAGTGCAGTGTTTTTCAACCTTTTTTGGGCAAAGGCACACTTGTTTCATGAAAAAAATCACGAGGCACACCACCATTAGAAAATGTTAAAAAATTTAACTCTGTGCCTATATTGACTATATATAAAGTAATTCTCTTGAATAGGAATCAAATAAACACAAAGAAAGTATTTTATAATTACTTTATTATGAAATATTAAGTAAACAAAATAGTGAAAAATTATAAAATTCTTGTCTTGTCTGCACCTACGGCACACCAGGCAACAGTGTGCCGTGGAACAGCGGTTGAAAAACGCTGGTCTAGTGAACATCAATAGGACTGGTTTTTGGTGGGAGCTGTCGTTCTTAGCAGGGCGACCTGTGATTCTGATCGCAGGATGAGACGAGGCCAGGCTTATGGAGGCGAGGCCGGGCCCATCTGCAGTGTGGCCGCAGCGGCAGGCTGCAGAGGCCCGAGATGAACCCCTGGCACGGCTTTCAGAGGGAGCTGTGGGGTCAGAGGGGAATGAATTGCAGTGTGGTATCTCCTAAGGCACTATTACCCTCACACCACTGAGTATGTGGTGAAGACTAGACACAATATCCTTACTTTCCAATAAATGAGAATTAAATGAGTTCCTGGCATATAGTACTAGTAAGTGCTTAATGATACCAGCCATTGTATTTTTATTATGGGGTAGGAATATGCTTGATTTGTTTTAATACCCGTGGATACTTCTGTGGGGATATATGTATTTGAGGGAACTTCTGAAAGAGAAGAGAATAATTTGGAACAAAGACCTTGGAAACAATTTCCAGCTTGGTAATTGAAAAAATGAACATTTGGTAAGAGTTAGGACAGGTCGGGCGTGTCCAGGGTGGTATGGCCATAGGCGGATGAGTTTAAAGAATCCAGACAAGACCCAAGCTTTCCTCCAACCGGATTTATTGAGCACAATTCTATACACAGTCACCGAGACCTGCTGCTGCAAAGCAGGTCCTTTCTGACTAATATTTTGGGAAGTCAGTCCACAGAGTGTCCAGAAGCAACTTAGCCTAAATTAATACAGAAGTGCCCACAGCACGCTGGGTGACAGGCCTAACCACTGAACTAACAGTGTACGGCGAGGAGCAGACGCTGCCGGGGAGCCTGAGCGCCGTCAGGAGGCCATCTTGTGCACGGCCACTGTGATGCTGTCGTGTTTCTGGATCATAATGTTCCTGGAAGGCAAAGCGGAAGACCTTCAGTAACACGTTCCATGTGGAGGCGGTGACGGTTATGGTTTAGGACACAATGAAAAAACATTTTATAAGCAATATATGAACATAACAGAACACTTGGGAAATACAGAAAAGTGTAACTATAAAAATGAAATGACTCCTCTCCCCCTGGCACTAGGACAAACAGTTACTATTTCCAGGTTTTGTGTGCAGGTATCCTGGGACACATTCTCTCGAACAAGCTGTGGTGATACTGTAGTTTTGTCCTCTGCTTGTGTCCGTTATTCTGAAGACACTCCTTGGAAGATCTTTAGTACTTCTGTTATTACAGAAGCAGTTTCCGGTCTTTGATTGGCCTTCCCCTACTTTACTTTCTTTTTCCTGACAGACTGACAGTTCATGACAATGCTTCCTCTTTTAAGTGCCACTGAGGTCAGAAAGCCCGTCAGCTTGAGGTCAGTCTCTGCGAAGAACCCCTTAAAGCCCTTTGAATGAAGAACCACCAGGAACACAGGGCAGGCCCCAGTCCCTCCCCTAAATCTTTCTAAATGAAAAGGAAAGGAAGGGACTGCTGTCTTCGACTCACCCATTGTCTGACTCTAGACACACCACAGGGGTATCGGTGGGGTCTGAGGTCAGCTTCGCTGCCTGCTGGGCTAGAACAGATATCACCCCGGCATGCTCATCCGACAGGGTCCCACGGCCTGGAAGACATGATATTATGTAGCCCAACTGTCTTAAAAAGGAGCGGACAGCTGTAGTGGTACCTCATGAATTATTCATGAGAGCTCAGTTCCTGGTCTCTTAGGTTAGTTACTGACATGAAATGGTTTTGCTCTGCTGTACTCAGCTGGGTGCCTTCGTGAGAATGCCGCACACCAGCTCCTGAATCAATAAAGCCTAACAGACACTCAGTTTTCAAAGTCATTCCCATCACCATCTTTAAACACCATCCCAAGCATACAAGGAAGCTGTAATTTCAAGTTGCTCTGAAAGTCATAAATCCATTCCACAGGAACCTTGCTGAAAGCAACAAGGCATTCGGAGGTGAGATCGACACACGGCAGGAAGGACAAGAGACCTGTTGAAACGTATTCCTCGTAGGAAATCCAATTTCCTTCCCTGAGCTCCGCCTTAAAGGTTACGCACGTTTTTCCGGGAGCTCAGCTGTGCGTCCACCTTGACAGCATATGTGGACCTTCTGTGCGCAGTTCACCCCGTTAGAACAAGCTGGCTGTTTGCCAATACCAACAGAATAGGCTTTTGTTTTCGCCTGTAGATAACATCTTGGGTGGCAGGCAAAAAAGTGATTTCTAAGTTTACAATATGTATGTGTAAGGGCAATCCAAGCCTATCTGCTAACTCGGGTACCAGACATGCTGCTGCCACAGAGCTGGTGGGTTGACTGTTATATAGAACATGAACTGCACCGAGAGTGCAGTCTTGAGGGCCTTGAAGAATTAGGAACTAATTTAGTTTTATATTTCCTTGAATTTTCATTAGTGAGTCTGGTAAATGTCCCCATCCTCTTGGTCTTTTTCCTTCCAATTCACTGTGTGTATAACTTCCCAGCAAAAGCTCAGAGCTTTAAAAAGCCCCACACTAAAGAGTCCTGGGCTTATTGCTTCTGATGTTAATCAGCCAAATGTCTTAGTTACTTATTTCTTCATCTATAATTGTTACCATTTACTGAGCATTATGTCTGGGTTATGTATTGTGTTTTACACATAACATCTTATAATACTGTGATACTGAGACTTTGGTGGAGCCAGACTCAAATCCCAGCTAGACCACTTAATTCTTTAATACTCACCCGAGGATATGTTTTTATTGATTCTGGAAGGAGAGAGAGGACGAGAAACATCGATATGAGAAACATTGATTGGTTGCCTCCCACAGCTCTCCAGCTGGGGATCAAACCTCCAACCTTCAGTGCGCAGGACAACGCTCCCACCAACTGAGCCACGCTGGCCAGGGCTACCACTTAATTTCTGTATTTTGAGAACTAAATGACTTAGAACATGCAGAACTGTACATGTGGAACACTTAGAATGATGCCTGGCACACAGTAAAAACTCAATAAATGTAATTCAGTAATAATAATTATTAACCCAGTAAAGAAAAGGCTCAGAGAGGTTCTTTTTGGTCCCAGCAAACAGAAGAGCAAGCAGTAGAACCCAGGTGTGTCCGACTCTGAAGCCTCATTTTTACTGCCTCCTCACGGTTAAGGTAGACTGAAAAATAGCATCTTGCAGGAATATGAAAATTAGATAATCCGTATATGAAGCCTAGCAGTCCAAGCAGTCGGCACACATTCAAGGTTAACTGAAGGCTTTCTTCAATCCACTTTTTAAAATGGGGCAAATACCATTTCAGTAGAAATAACTGTAGTGCAAGGAACATTTCTACCTTCGTAAATACCAAGTGAAAAAGCCAATCTTCTAATCTCCTTATTGGAAGATAATCTCTGCTTACAGAAGTAGCTAGAAAGTGGCAGGGTAACAGCACAATGACTCCTAGTCGACTTCAAATGCTGTGCAACCCACCTCAGGATTGTGGGAGGTACTTACAGCCCAGGT